GGTCCAGCAGGCTGGATGCTGTGACGGACAACTCCACCCGAGTGACGCAGTGCTGTGGTCCGACGGTGCGGGTTTGACCCCCAGGAGCCGAGGCCAGTGTGTAGGCCATGATCTCAGGTCACAGGTGGCCCACCTGTGGAGCAGACTGGGTTCATAAAGATGCATGCAGGTTCCAAATGTCTGCAAACACGTGTGAATAACAGGCAAAATGATGGCTCACACTTTACTGAGCGCGTTGTGTTTGTCTTACACTGAAAACGATGAAATCATAAATGACTGCAAACGTTTTTGTAGGAGAGCAAGATACTGGCAGCACATCAGCTGCTGCTAGACACTAGGATCATCAGAACAGATTACCTCTAAATGTTTCTGCGAGAAGAAGAAAAAATGGATGTTAGACTGAAAAATCAATAGATGCCACTTGGAGTCACCGGTGGCTGCACAACCACTCCAGTTTCATCAGTTTAATCAGACTAATGAGCCGGTTGGCCTGAAAACACCAAGATGATCAGAAAAAAACACACTGCAGGGTTCAGGTTTGGGTATGGCAAGCCTTAAAACCCCCTAATCATAGCTGGGATTAATCATCACACACACACACACACACACACACACACACACACACACACACATGGATATGAGACCAGATCAAAGCCCACCATCAGAAAGCTTCCGACGAGGACGGACATGAGGAGAAAACAAAAGGTTTAATGTTCTAAAACTGCTTGTTGTCAGAAATAAACGTGCAATGTTTTCCCAGCTGCAGTAAAACAAACAAATAAACAAACGATGTCCATTAAGGCCGTTTTGTTCTCTGTGGCGAGTTGAAACGATGCGGTCTGTTGCTAAGATACTAATGTGTCATAACCAGCGTGCTCCTCCCGTGATGTCACACTGGAGGTTGTGATGAGCTGAAACCGCCAGCGTCTGTCTTCGTCTTCACTCCTCGGAGTCCTCGACTCCGGTGTTTACAGAAGATCTGAAAAACACCGATCCCTCAGGGGCGCTGGTTTTAGACGGATCAGAGCAGAGACAAATAAATCCAGTTTGTGTTTGACACCTGCTGCTTCCCTCGTGACGGCAGGACAGGGAATCAGACGGATGAAGGCAGAGTGATGCACGAGATTATTATTTTATTTGTCGCCTTAGAATGACAATTTCAGCAGTTTGTTGTAGTTTAGGTAGATGGTTGTGATCGGCTTAATCTGTGATCTGAAACTAAAAGATCTGATTGATTTGTCTCAATTCACGCATGATGTGAATCCCTGCAGAATGATGAATTATAGTTTTAGTGCATGAGGATTTTTCAAGAGTCAGCCAAAACCAGGATTGGTGCTTTTCTGAATTTACATTTATGATGTTTTTCATTTGCCCACAATGTGTTCAAAAGTACAACAAATATAAAATATATCAGAAATGAAACTTAAACGACACAAATACTGAAAATAAAAACTCAGTGTACGAAGAAATGAGCAGTTTACTTCAAACCCTGAGCTTCACCTCTTTAGGTGAGCGTCTTACCTGAGGGAAGGCTGCACAATCCAACAGGTTCTGACCCAGCTGCACACCTGAGTATGCAGCGTGTGTGTGTGTGTGTGTGTGTGTGTGTGTGTGTGTGTGTGTGTGTGTGTGTGTGTGTGTGTGTGTGTGTGTGTGTGTGTGTGTGTGTGTGTGTGTGTGTGTGTGAGGGGGGTTGTTTCTCTGCACACACACAAATGCATGCACACGTCCAATATAACACACACACACACACACACACACACACACACACACTCATTGGGTCTGACAACATGTCCTGTTTGCTGCACTGGGGCCAAACAGGAAAAAAGTCAAAGTCTTACAAAGATGTGACAAATTAAACATTTCAAACCAAATCAAACTCCGTGTGATGCGTTTCCGGTGGCTTCACATTTAGTTATCCTCCCACATCCTTCCGCGTTTAACCTCTTTAGCCCACGGAGGCTGAACCTCCAGCTGACTGAGCGTTACTTCAGCCAGAAGCTCCCAATAAATCACAAAATGTACATACGCGCGCGCACATGCACACACACACACACACACACACACACACGCCCTGGATCCTCACTCACCTCAGTAACGAGTAACTTCTTCACTTGACAGTCACTTCTCACGGTGAAGAGCAGAAAAACATCAAAAGTTCTTTGGTTTAATGTTTTTTTTTTTTTTGTATTATCTAGAAGCGGCTGCGCGCACGCGCTGACATTTTGACCCGCAGTTCTGTCCAGAGACGCGCAACAGCGTGTGCGCAGAAATCATCCCCAGTCCGAAATGAGCGGTCCGCCGAGCGCAGCTGATGGATCGAGCTCCAAGCTCGCGAGAATAAAAGCACACCGGAAACTGTCTGTTAATCTTCAAAATAAAGCTCAAGTGGGACAAAACCTGTTCCGGTTCATGTTTTAAATGTGATTGTGTCCCTGAGACTTTTTCCACTTTAATTTTGATTTTTAAAGTTATTTTCTTTAAATCCCGAAAGATTCAGGACAAACGTTAACAACTGATAGTCATTTTGTCATGTTATTCTTCCATTTGTAATTTCTTTTTGCTTTATTTAGTTTAGTTTTTACGTTTTATTTTTACTTTTTTATTTAATAAGTTATTACGGCCTCTCGGTTGTTCTTGTATTTTATTTTTGTACCTCTGAAGTTTTGAGTCTTGTTTATTATTTATTGTACTTTGAGCGCCTCTGATCTATATTAACCGCTGTGAGACAAACAAAAGATGTTGTTTTGTTGCGTAATAAAATAAAACACAATTTTAGTGACTCAGGATGGAAGAAGCTGCACCAACTCTAGTCACCACAAGAGGGAGCCAAAACACCACGGCGGCTGTTTCTGCACTGACTGCATTTTTTATTTCTTCCGGACTGATTTTATTTGACAAAATATCCTAAAAGCATGTAAGATTGACGTCAATTAAACCTTTTTATATTATAAGCTAAATATAACACATATTTGCACCAAAAAAATGAATAAAAGTACCATTTTAATGTTTCACGCTTTATAAACAAACTTAATTTAACCGTCAGGATTTCATTTTATTTATTTTAATGGCGTGTATTTATATGTACTTTTTAAACTGTATTTAACCGTTGTTGGACCAGGAAGTCCCTTAAGATTAACGCATATTTTAAGGGAGACGAGACGGCCGTTATGTTAGAAAATCATCATCAATCATCAGTGGAATACACGTCAAGACTACATTTCCTTGCATTGAAATATAAGCATTTAATTTACATTTACAATAAAATTGTTTAGTTAAAGGTTTTCTGTTTTTTTCTAATGTTGACGTTGAAACGTCTCACCAGCCACAGAAGAATGAAAACACTACATTTTTTGTTTGTTCTGCTCAAAAGTCCTGAAACAGACATTAGTAAACATTTGATCATAAGAAGAAGAAAATATCCTTTCTATAGCGCCTCTCAAGATAAAAATCGCGAGGTGCTTCACAAAAACAAAAAATTTAAAAATATAAAAATGAATTTAGAAAATGGTTAAAAATATGTTTAAAATGAGCAAAAATATACAATTGTGATTAAAACAATGATAAGAAAGAGAGAGAGTGAATAGGAAAGAGGGAAATCAGTGGATCCTGAGGAAGGTGGAATAGGTGGGGAGAGCAGAATAAAGAGAGAGAGGTGAAGAAGGTCATACAAAAGCCAGCTTGAACAAGTGAGTCTTCAGCTGCTTTTTAAAGGAGACCACTGAGTCCACTGATCTCAGGCTCAGGGGGAGAGAGGTCCAGAGTCTGGGGGCCACAGCAGCAAAGGATCTGTCACCTTTGACCTTTAGCCTGGTGCTGCACAACCAGTAGGCTTTGATCACTGGGCCTCAGGGACCTGCTGGGGGTGTAGGGACTAAGAAGATCACCAGTGTAAGATGGTCCTTGTCCATGTAAGGCCCTATAGACCAGAACCAGGATCTTGAAATGAACCCTGAAGTTGACTGGCAGCCAGTGAAGCTGGAGGAGAAGCGGGGTGATGTGGGTGTGTTTGGAGGACTTGGTCAGAAGCCGAGCACAGGCGTTCTGAACCACCTGTAGACGGTTCAGGGAGGTTCTGCTCAGACACGTGAAAAGAGAGTTACAGTAGTCTAAGCGTGAGGAGATGAAGGTGTGGAGAACTGTCTCAAGTTCAGAGCGGGACAGAATGGGACTCAGCTTAGCAACGTTCCTGAGATGGAAGAAGGAAGAGAGAACAAGAGAACTGACATGAGAATCCAGAGTGAGAGCTGGGTCAAAGGTCACGCCAAGATTCCTGACAGAAGGTTTGGTGTGAGGAGCAATATAAAATATAGGATTTTATATCAACAGCCTCCTGGAGAGACTTAATCCCACAAAAGGGCCGTGCAAAATTGGCCCCCAGGCCGTACTTTGGACACCCCTGCTCTACAAGACAATCTAACTGTCTGGTAATTAGAAAATAGGGACAAAGGTAAAATTCAGCCAGCTCAAAAGAGGGTTTTTATTTTTATTTTTATTTTACAGAAATCTTTTTATAAAATAATAAACGTAAAACAAAACAATAAGTTTATGGAAACCTTGACTGAAATGAAAAAAGCATAAAAGAATGCATTTGAGTGATCTTATTTGTTTAGTTGTTATAGGAAAACACGTTGACATGAGTGTAAAAAAAAGAGAAAAATACAACATTAAGGTGCTTATAGAAGAAACACGGTTAAAACTTGGTAATCCAACTCATTCATTTAGATGAAAAATAAATATTCTAACTTTCTTTGGTTTTTGACAGCAGAAAGAAATACTTGGCTTCAGCAGAGGCCACAACCGACAAAGACGTGGAGAGGAGAAATTCGTTACTGCAGATGGGTGATTTCATGTGTTTTTCACTCGTGTGGCCTCTCCGAGTGCAAATGAACTCCTGTAATCAGAGCATGAATCATAAAACATGCACGAACATATACACCGTATTTTCCGGACTATAAGCCGCTACATTTCCCCACGCTTTGAACCATGCGGCTTATAATGAGGTGCGGCTTTACTGAAGATTTTCCTTCACCTGCAGGGGGCGCTTTAGCAGAAAGTGAAACAGGTGGAAGTCAAAAGTGGAAATCGAAGAAAGTGCACATTTTAATTTAGCACATGCAAGCAGCCGGCACAACGAAGAATCTTTTTCAAATCCATACCCCCTCATCATGGTAACGACACGTATGAGTTCATATGATGCCGCATTTAAGTTGAAGGCCATCTATCGCGTCATACCCCTGTCAAAACCCGTGCACGCGCATTGGGTCCACAGCGCGCGTGTGAACGGGACTCGCGAGCGAAAATATACATGGCAGCGCGCGTGTGAACGGGACTCGCGAGCGGAAATATACATGGCGAGAGGTCATTTGTGCACTGAGAGGGAGCAAACTGTGTCTGTGAGCACACAAGGATGTGCACAAGTGACAAACCTGCGTGCGCGCGTTGTCAACGAGCACACGGCAGAGGAAAACGTGCGCGCGCGGCAGCCTCTGTGCGCGCTCGGCAGCCTCTCTGCGCGCTCGGTTTCTGACTCCTGCTCGCTCGGCTGTAAGGGTTTTGGCACTCTGGAGGCGTGGCCTGTGGCAGATCTCCTCTGTCCTCTGATTGGTTAGTGTACCCCGCACTTTACCCTCTACCTATCTATATAAAAAAGTCTACTAGTCAAGTAGTTGCTGGCATAGCTCAGTTGGAAGAGCGGGTGACTCTCGCCCCGGAGGATCCGGGTTCGAGGCCGGGCAAGGAAAATGCAGTAGATGTCATGTTAATTTTTCTTAATTTCAGGTATTTTACAGTTGTGACCGTTCAACTGTCATTAAAGAGCAAGTCACCCCCAAATCACATTTTTTTTTGCTGATAAACTATATAAAGGAGTGTCTAATCATGCTACAGACACGTGTAGTCAATAATTTGGCACTTCAGTGCATCTTGGTTAAAATTCAAATATTCTGCCTAAAACTGTCAGTGTTGCGCCGTCGTCAGGGAAAAATTCTGCACTGTATTTGAATTTAAATCTGCCACCGCTATTGGCTAAGAGGTATGCTATGATGTCATCTGGTATATTATGATGTCATAATGCCATTGTGAGCCTGTGTGTGTGTGTATTTGTTAGCAGCTCCGCCTTCTCGGTCTGCCAAGCAACAGCATTTGTTGCATTTTTCAAACATGAAGTGGGAGTGAAGTAAGTTTATTGTAGGGGGTAACTTGCTCTTTAAACGTCCGAATGTTTGCTGGGCAGTGTTTTAAAAAGTGCACATAAGCTAGATGGTTTTAACCATATAAAATTACATTTTTTGTGATACTGGAAAAATACATACTGAAATAAAACTACTGATTGAAAACTTTATGACTGTGGTTGTACAATATATGACTCACTAATACACTGCAAACTCCCTTAGAGTGGGGCTTCCAGAGAGAGAGAGAGAGACAGAGAGAGAAAAGTTCTTGCCTCATTAATGAATTGTTTATTTTTTTCAGTATTTAATTGACAAATTATCCTTTCAAATAATTAATTGATGAGTTACATAATTGTCCATTTAGAATTGTTGAATGGACTGAGTCAAGTTTGGTGCACTTTATATATTTCAAAACATGTTTTTTGCAGTGTATTAGTGAGTCATATATTGTACAACCACAGTCATAAAGTTTTCAATCAGTAGTTTTATTTCAGTATGTATTTTTCCAGTATCACAAAAAATGTAATTTTATATGGTTAAAACCATCTAGCTTATGTGCACTTTTTAAAACACTGCCCAGCAAACATTCGGACGTTTAATGACAGTTGAACGGTCACAACTGTAAAATACCTGAAATTAAGAAAAATTAACATGACATCTACTGCATTTTCCTTGCCCGGCCTCGAACCCGGATCCTCCGGGGCGAGAGTCACCCGCTCTTCCAACTGAGCTATGCCAGCAACTACTTGACTAGTAGACTTTTTTATATAGATAGGTAGAGGGTAAAGTGCGGGGTACACTAACCAATCAGAGGACAGAGGAGATCTGCCACAGGCCACGCCTCCAGAGTGCCAAAACCCTTACAGCCGAGCGAGCAGGAGTCAGAAACCGAGCGCGCAGAGAGGCTGCCGAGCGCGCACAGAGGCTGCCGCGCGCGCACGTTTTCCTCTGCCGTGTGCTCGTTGACAACGCGCGCACGCAGGTTTGTCACTTGTGCACATCCTTGTGTGCTCACAGACACAGTTTGCTCCCTCTCAGTGCACAAATGACCTCTCGCCATGTATATTTCCGCTCGCGAGTCCCGTTCACACGCGCGCTGTGGACCCAATGCGCGTGCACGGGTTGTGGCACGCTTTAAACGCCATAGCCATCGATCAGGCAGTGAAGGAGGGAAACAGCGCTGCCGCACGTAAGCTTGGCATGAATGAATCCGTGGTTCGGCGCTGGAGACGGCGGCTGGAAGAACTTATTCAAGCCAGCTTCACCCGGGGATGATGACAGCGACACGGACAGCGACGCCGACATCGCCACAGAAAAGGTATGTGACGAAGCTCTTCTGAGGCTGTTCAACTCCGACACTGAAGAAGAGGACTAATGGCTTAAAGGTTTGTTTTTGCTTGACGCATCCGCGAGGTCCACACGGCTCCACGCGGCAAAATTGCATCATTTTAACAACCACGCCCCTCCACCGCGCCTCCGCACGGCCCAAAATTTCCGCAACGCGCACCTAGGAAATTTTCTAACCACGCGGACGGACGGACGCAGAAAAACATGGCGGACTGGCAAGAACTAGTATGGCAGAGGTTCATAAATACAGACATTTGTATGATTCAGCTCTCAAAGATCACCGTGATCAACATGTTGTTAATAATTCTTGGAGAGAAATAGCTTGCACTGTTGGAAAAGACGAGAACGCTGTTAAAAATGCTGGAATGCCATGTTGTAAACAGTAATTTCTACTTCTACAATGGTGTAGTGTTGGATGCATGCCGTAGAGCTCCATGCTGCCCCCTATAGTTTGGGAGAATATTGGCTCACCGCAGAGACGAGCCGCATGAACCATAAACGCTGCGAGTTGTGAAGCGCGTTCCATCCGCGAGTCGCATCACCAAGCGGAAAGTAAATGCGTCAAGCATAAACCAAGCTTTAGTGTGCAAGAGGGAGATGAGAGAGAATGACTTTTTCTGGTAGGCAAGTGTGTTTTATTTACTAACCAGGCATGTTTTGTGTGCAGTTTTTATTTTCTAATCATCCAGGGCTTATTAATGCTGTGTCAGCGCTGTTCTTTCCTTCTAAAAATGCAAATGACCGGTAATAACGTGTCAGTGCTGTTTTTATGTTATAACATCCAGAAATATGAATGCTGTCAGTGTTTTCTTTTCTAAACTTGCAGGCACGTTCACCCGTGTTTAAATTCGTTTTGTTGAATTAAAAAAACAACAAAAAACCTCCGTGTAGCGTCTTTCTGTCTAACTATCGTATGTTATGGCCGTACATGCGCTGTGCGCCGGAGACCTGCATGCGGCTGCTGCGCTGCGGCTTGTATTCGAGTGTGGCGTGTGTGTAGAAAACCTTGTTTATGTTGATGGGGCTTATATTGAGATGCGCTCTATAGTCCAGAAATTACGGTAAGTGCTTTAAATCGCTGCTGAGGGATCAAAGCGACGTTTAGTCTGAGTTGAAATCTTCAACTTTTAACTTTTTTTTTACATTACAGTAAAATCCAAACATTCATATTCAGCCATTAAACGTATTTCCTGTTGCTGCGGTCCTGATGAAGGTCCGTTCACCATGGATCTGCAGAATCGTCACATGGAGGAGAAACTGAGCCTCCTCTCCGTCTGGCTGAACCTCTGAGCTTCGCTCACTGAGACGTTGTTCTTCCACAGCCTGATGATCTGCAGAGACGGGCAGGACTGCAAGGCTTTAACCAGAACCGCCAGTCCAGCAGAACTCACGCTGTTGCACTCCAAGCTGGAAGAAGCACACAGCAAACGCTCACCACCACTCAGGAAACAGCTGGACCAGCTCGTTATTGGTTTTACAACATCTGGATTGTGTTTGCGCAAAAGTGTGAAACTCACTCGAGACGGATCAGATCCCGGCAAAGAGGCAGAATCTTGGCGAGCTCCAGAACAACATCGTCTCCGCAGTGATTCCATCCCAGACTGAAACAAGAATCCTCATCTTGCTTATTTTATACGTTTGAGTGACGGGGAGGAAAAGCATTTTTAAAACAACAACAAGTAAAGATTTAGTGTTTCTTTCACCCCACATCCTGGATGAACGGGCATTTGCCCAAACTCGCCGCTACAACGCCGAGTTCTGACGTCCCGACAGAAGTCAGACTAAAGAAAGGATTTAAAAACAATCAGTGGGTTTAAAGATCAGAAACTGGGTTGAAACAGGACCAAACTGGTCTTACTGGATCTTTCTGAGGTTCGTTAAGCTCCTGACTGCTTTGGCCAGGCTGACTGATCCGTCTTTTCCAAAACGATTGACTGAAACACTAAAAAAGGAGAAAAAAAAACACCAGATAAACCTCAGATTAGCTCAGGCAGAAGAAGTTAGAGAAGTTCCTCCTACTCCAGCACAGCGAGGCGCGTCATCGACGGCAGCACCAGGCTCATGCTGGCAGCGGTCAGGTCACCCAGGAAGTTACTGGACAGACTGGAACACAGAGAAAAGCCAGTTTGATCTCAGAACTGGAAACAAACTGGAGTTTTTAGTCAACGGTCACCCTTAGAATGTTGTTGGCCACCAAACTGGCCACACGTGAATCATATCAATGTTCACACAAACTACAAATTCATATTATTTAATCAGACATGAATGCAAAACCCAATAAATTAAAGAGTAAATAAATAATCAGATTTTTTTAAAGCTATACGTGTTTCTCTTGCCAACTCAAGTTTAAAGGGACTTTACGGACTTTTGAATTTTTATGCTCACGATCGCCCCCTCAGGCCAAAAGCGTAACGGCAGCTTCAATAGTAGGCTCGTGCACGAGGCGCGCATGCTGTACGTGCACACTCCTTGACGAAAATAACAGCTGAGACAGTCCCGTGTGTGTGTGTGTGTGTGTGTGTGTGTGGCCCGGAGGACAGAGGACAGGAGAACGTGCAGCTAATTAATTAAATAATTTGGTTCTGTACCTTTCTCTTCAGCACAGCCGACAAAGGTTTAAGATGGGTCAGTCCTCCTGCATGCTCAGATCATTCCCTTCCCTTGCTTGAAAAATTGTTCCAAAATGAAAGTTGAACCCACATCTTTTTTATCTGTGAATTCAATGCCGTTCGGCGAGTCTCAAATAAAAATTTGGGCATCTTACTGCAAAAAATATACCATTAATGTAAAAAAGAAACTCTAAATAAACTATGTTCACATCCAGAATCAAACCCTGGTCTTCTGCATGAGAGTCAGATATCTTACAAGGTGAGCTACACTCTAGTAACATTCACAGTATCTGTAACATTTATATCGTTGATGACAGCTGAAACAACGTTCAAAGAACGGTTCGGAGTGAAAATGGCTATTTTGTTGCTAACTTGCAGGAAATATCTAGAAGAAAGTTCTACAGAAAGTAGCTAAGGGTCCTCAGAAATGTAGCTAGCTTTGTCACTAGGCGTTAGGAACAGCGACAAAGTGGCACCGCCTCTCTCTCTGCTGCTAAAGCTACGGATAGCAAATGCTACGGGCGATGCCTGAGCGTGAACGCGCATGAAGCAGCCTGCTCGACCCGAGCATCTCTCTTTTTCTGTGATTTTACAGAAAAACAGGCAATCACAGTAAAAATGCCAGGGCTCATTCTACAGGACCAGGGCATTGCAGGAGAATGTATGAAGAAGACATTTATTATTTCTATACATGTTTTGGCTGTCACACTTCCATAATGTCCCTTTAAATCTCTACAGATTTTGTGAAGACATCAATTAAACTGTTTAAAAAATTCTGCAATAAATTTTAAAATAACATCAAATAACAGTTTGAAAAGTCTTCCTGAAAAAAAATTGTGATCCTCAAAAAGCTGTGAGTTTTATGTAGAAACTGCTCTTACTGGAGCTCCTCCAGGAGGCTGCAGCTCTTCAGAGCATCAAGCAGCTTCTCCCCCGAAGCGTCGCTGATGACATTCTTAGAGAGGCTGAAGGATAAAAACACAAAAAGGGCTTAAAATCTGTCAGTTTTACAGATACGGAGATAGAATTTCAGTCTTTTACAAGAAATAAATGAAATATTAACAGATCAGAGAAAGTGTCACATGATTCTCCATCATTTCTCATCACAATGATTTTAGTTTAAGATCATGGCCTGAAGGTGATGAGGGAAAGGATTCCTGTAAGGAATTACAGGATTAGATAAACTCTTTTAATCTGTTTGTCCTTTATCGGGACTACTGTGTGATGCCCCGTCCCGAGGGAAACTTTGTTGGAAAGACCGACACGGTGACTTTTCTCTACGTAATTTTTGGTTTTTTGAATGCAGAAATGATAAAAGTCTAATTATCGACATCTTTCTTTTGACTAAGAGAAACAAACACAAGCAAACGTCAGCGTCTGGGCTAATTAAAGGAAACAACCGATCCTTTTCAACCGAAATCCCAAATACCCATAATTAAAATATTGTGTTTAATATTGTTAAGCAGTTTAAAATAAAAAAACTTGATCTTTTCTTGTGCTTTTAATTTAAATCAAATCTCATTTTTACATACTTGAGGAATTCAAACTTTTCATAGTAGTAAGCACAACAGTGACTATTGTATATTCATTGGTTCACCTAAATACATGAACCTTTGTTATTATTATTTTTTCTTCAAATCATTCACTTAAGTGTTGGTGCTGCTGTAACAAGTGAATTTCCCCACTGTGGGATCAATGAAGTTGATTCTATTCTATTCTATTCTATTCCATTCCATTCCATGCCATTCTATTCCATTCTATTCTATTCCATCCCATGTCATTCTATTCTATTCTATTCCATGCCATTCTATTCCATTCTATTCTATTCTATCCCATTCTATTCTATTCTATTCTATTCTATTCTATTCTATTCTATTCTATTCTATTCCATTCAATTCCATGTCATTCTACTCCATTCTATTCTATTCCATCCCATGTCATTCTATTCTATTCTATTCTATTCCATGCCATTCTATTCCATTCTATTCTATTCTATCGCATTCTATTCCATTCCATTCTATTCTATTCTATTCCATTCAATTCCATGCCATTCTATTCCATTCTATTCTATTCCATCCCATGTCATTCTATTCTATTCCATTCTATTCTATTCCATCCCATGTCATTCTATTCTATTCCATTCCATTCCATTCTATTCTATTCTATTCTATTCTGTTCTGTTCTATTCTATTCCATTCCATTCCATTCTATTCTGTTCTATCCTATAAATAAAATCTGAATGTAAACAACAACAACATCTGTTACCTGATCTTCTTGAGCCGCTTCCATCCAGGAATGGTTTTAATCAGCTGTTGTATCCCTCCATCATCCATCCTCCAGCCGTCCAACCTGAGGAGTCAACACTTCCAGCATCACTACGATCATCCTGCTCTTATGAAGAACTGAAGAAGATTCATCGCGTTTGTGAACGAGCAGCAAAGTCGCTAAATGTAGAAAACAAAACTCAATCGATGGTTTTTATTTGTCAGCATCCGTCTAAAGCAGCCAGGAGACTCAACACGATCCGTTCTGATTGGTCTGATGCTTTCAGAGCTCATTTAGTCTTTTACACACACGCACGCACGCACACACACACACACACACACACACACACACACCTGCTAGTTAATATCAGGGTTTTTTAATGCATCCGATTTAGAAGAGATGAGTTCTTACTTCAGACTCTGGATGGAAGTCATGTTTCCTAAAGCTTCAGCCAAACACTCCCAGCTGTTCTCTTTCAGCTGCAGAGCTGCATCCAGACTTGGGTGAAGACAGAAACAAACGTAAAGCTGACTAGTCAGGCTTCACAACAACAGAAGTTTTGTTACAGAGAGTCGTCGTTAGCAGATGAATGTCTCACCAAAGTTCTTCTAAATGTTTGGATCGTCTCAGAGCTCTGATGAGCTGCAGTCCTCCATCTTCTGACCACACACAACAAGACAGGCTAAAGGAGAAGTGGGAGAGAGACGTTTTAAAGCGGTTCTGCTAAACGTTCCACAGACCGGATCTCGTAAACTCACCCGATTGAGCGAAGACGAGGAAACAGTTCCGTCAGACTCTGAGCAGCTGCATCACTTATAGAATGACCTGAAAGACTAAGAGGGAAAGAAAAGCCTGATCTTAAAACATGACTTGACCACTAGGGAGCAGCGTTTGGTTTCAGAGTAAACATTTTAGGATTTGGTCCAATGGGGAGACGCTGATCAGACTAAAAACATGAGTTTAGTTTATCCTTGTGCTCTGGAGCATACAGGTGCTTATTAAAGGGACTTTACGGACTTTTGAATGTTTATGCTCGTGATCGCCCCCTCAGGCCAAAAGCGTAACAGCAGCTTCAATAGTAGACTCGTGCACGAGGCGCGCATGCTGTACGTGCACACTCCTTAACGAAAATAACAGCTGAGACAGTCCCGTGTGTGTGTGTGTGTGTGTGTGTGTGTGTGTGTGTGTGTGTGTGTGTGTGTGTGTGTGTGTGTGTGTGTGTTGCCCGGAGGACAGAGGACAGGAGAACGCGCAGCTAATTAATTAAATAATGTGGTTCTGTACCTTTCTCTTCAGCACAGCCGACAAAGGTTTATGATGGGTCAGTCCTCCTGCATGCTCAGATCATTCCCTTCCCTTGCTTGAAAAATTGTTCCAAAATGAAAGTCGAACCCAGATCTTTATTATCTGTGAATTCAATGTCGTTTGGCGAGTCTCAAATAAAAAATTGGGCATCTTACTGTAAAAAAATACCATTAATGTAAAAAATAAACTCTATATGAACTATGTTCACACCCAGAATCAAACCCAGGTCTTCTGCATGGGAGTCAGACATCTCACTTGGTGAGCTACACTCTAGTAACATTCACAGTATCTGTAACTTTTATATCCTACATGACAGCTGAAACAACGTTCAAAGAACGGTTCGGAGTGAAAATGGCTATTTTGTTGCTAATTTGCAGGAAATATCTAGAAGAAAGTTCTACAGAAAGTAGCTAAGGGTCCTCAGAAATGTAGCTAGCTTTGTCACTAGGCGTTAGGAACAGCGACAAAGTGGCGCTGCCTCTCTCTCTGCTGCTAAAGCTACGGATAGCAAATGCTACGGGCGATGCCTGAGCGTGAACGCGCATGAAGCAGCCTGCTCGACCCGAGAATCTCTCTTATTCTGAGATTTTACAGAAAAACAGGCAATCACAGTAAAAATGCCAGGGCTCATTCTACAGGACCAGGGCATTGCAGGAGAATGTATGAAGAAGACATTTATTATTTCTATACATGTTTTGGCTGTCAAACTTCCATAATGCCCCTTTAACTCAAGCAGAAAGACATTAGCAACAACCTCAGAGCAGCCATTGTTGCTGCTCATCATTCTAAGAGGGGTTAAAGGTAATTTCTAAACTGTTTGGATTTCTACTGAGCTAGAATTTAATCTGATTTCCCAGGTTCCCTAAACTACACACAATGACTACTGAATCTCATTTTTCTGACTCACTTTAGTCGTTGGATTAATGTCATCTGCAGCAGGATCTGTGAGAGCTCCTCAACTACAGCCGGAGTACGTTCCTTGATTCCAACGCTGCAGAAGACAAGATGAGGAAATTGTCATGTGTGACCTTTAAAACACCTGTAATATGTGAAAATGTTTACCTGAGAGAGGTGAGATTCGGTAACGAAGGCAGCAGAGAGGACAGGAACTCAACTCCAAGTCTGTCTGTGGAAAAGCTTTTTGGATAAACAAAATTATTTCTTTTGTTAATTAACTTTTATTGTGAATTTATTAAAATGACAATGAGAAGGACGTACTCCAACTCTGTGAGTTGTGGAAACTGATGGGTGAAACCTTCCACTAATGGAAGCTGGATTCTGTCCCCGAGGCTGAGGACAGACAAGAAAGGCCAGATCAGAGAAACAGGAAGCAGGTGTACAACTTCCTGTTTGGTTCCACCCCAAAACAAACTACATAAACATAAATGATTACGGAGATCAGCTGATGCTACAATAAGCTAGAGCTATATTTACTTTCTGGCAGCATGTTGTGTGTTGTTTAAAAAACTTAATAATAATAATAATAATAATAAATCAAACTTATATAGAGCTCCGGGAGTTGACGTCACTTCTCCCAGCATGCAACAGTTCAAATCGAAACGGCGCCATCTTGGCAGGCAGAAGCCCGCAGCTGGACTATTTGTTATTGTCAGAAAACTCAAACGGGAAATATGGTAGATTTCTGTTGTGCCCCGGGATGCAGAACAGACGCGGACGACATAAGGAATGAGCCATCTACAGGATTCCCCAAGATCCGGAGTGCCGCAAACGTTGGATCATTGTAATAAAACGCGCTAGTGACCGGGCTAAAATGAAGCTGTGGGATCCTGAGAGTAAAGGTTTTCGCTTATTACTCATAGCAACAAGTAAACGTCACGTTGCCTCGTGATTTCTGCGTGCTGCCGTTTACGTGATTTATGATCACAGCAATTAACCGGCTAAGCTGTATTTAATTTTTAAGCAATGGTTGATCAATTGTCAGATCACACATAAAAAGCACTTTGGATTGCTATTTTCTGTCTCACCGAGTCAGATCTCAGACAGATCCTGAGACGCTCCTGCCTGACATATTTATTTTATTCACGGAAAAAAATCAGACTAGTGATTTCTCTTGGCGTTCAGTTTATACATTCAAACAGCACAGCACTCTATTTAAACTACTTACATGTAAATCTATGTTATTTGTCCATCCATCCATCCATCCATTTTCATCCGCTTATCCGGAGTCGGGTTGCGGGAGCAGTAGCCTAAGTCGAGAGGCCCAGACTTCCCTCTCCCCAGCCACTTGGGCCAGCTCCTCTGGGGGAATCCCAAGGTGTTCCCCGGCCAGGTCCGGTAAGAAGTCCGCTCCGACAGCTTCTGGCGTTTTTAAAAAGTATCCCAGGGGCACGGTAAGGGTCGGAGATGTTTAGTCTATTTGATTTATGACTATATAAAATTATTTCTTCGGTTTTAAAGTGTGAAGTAAACTCCCACGGAGTAAAATCCAAGCCAATCCCATTCATTTTGTTTACCTTTGATGCCTGCCAACATGGTTTCTACTCTCTGAGTCACGTGACGTCCGGAGCTCTATAGAGCTTTTAATGTCACTCAAAGACGCTTCACAAAAAATGCAATAAACACATAATAAAACAAAATGAAACATAGTAAACAGACTGGGGGATGCTGGGTTGATCTTAAGAGGAGGCCAATTTAAAGAAGTGGGTTTTAAACAGTGACTTAAACGTAGAAAGAGAGACGGCATTCCTGATGTTTAGTGGGAGAGAGTTCCAAAGTGTGGGGGCAGCGGCTGCAAAGGCTCCATCCCCCATGGTGCGTTGTTTTGTTTTGAAAGGGGAAAGGAGGTTGGAGTCAGCAGAACGGAGGCAGGCGATTCCAGAAATGTTTTTCTGCAGGTGATATGAAGGAGCTAGTCTTTAATGAGGACACTATGAAGGAAGTGGTCAAACGTACCTATAGAGCTACGGACCCCACGTGACTCTCAGTTAGTAGACGCCATATTGGCAGGTAAAAGAAGCTAAACAAACACGGATGTAAACATCAACGGATCGGCTTGGATTTTACTTCGTCTGAGTTTACTTCACACTTTAAAACCGAAGAAATCGTTTTATATAGTCAAATGAAATAGACTAAACATCTCCGACCCTTACCGTGCCCCTGGGATACTTTTTAAAAACACCAGAAGCTATCGGAGCGGACTTCTTACCGGACCTAGCCGGGGAACCCCTTGGGATTCCCCCGGAGGAGGAGGCGGCTGGGGAGAGGGAAGTCTGGGACTCTCGACGCTACTGCCCGCTCCGACGCCAGAAGCTGTCAGAGCGGACTTCTTACCGGACCTGGCCGGGGAAGCCCTTGGGATTTACCCAGAAGAGCTGGCTCAGGTGGCTGGGGAGAGGGAAGTCTGGGCCTCTCAACGCTACATGCTCCCGCAACCTGACTCCAGATACGCAGATGAAAATGGATGGACAAATAACATAGATTTACATGTAAGTAGTTTAAATAGAGTGCTGTGCTGTTTTAATGTATAAACTGAACGCCAAGAGAAATCACTAGTTTGATTGTTTTCCGTGAATAAAATAAATATGTCAGGCAGGAGCGTCTCAGGATCTGTCTGAGATCTGACTCGGTGAGACAGAAAATAGCAATCCAAAGTGCTTTTTATGTGTGATCTGACAATTGATCAATCATTGCTTAAAAATTAAATACAGCTTAGCCGGTTAATTGCTGTGATCATAAAACACGGAAACGGCAGCACGCAGAACTCACGAGGCAACGTTTTACGTGATGTTTACTTGTTGCTATGAGTAATAAGACAGAAAAAGCCCCGCCAAAATAAGTTTAGGAAACCCACTAAGAATCGTAATAAAAGCATTTAAAATAAATACCATACACAGTTGAGGAAACATTGGTTTAAGTACCTGATATGAAGCGGTCGCTGCATAAGCGAAAACCTTTACTCTCGGGGTCCCACAGCTTCATTTCAGCCCGGTCACTAGTGCATTTTATTACAATGATCCAACGTTTGCGGCGCTCCGGATCTTGGGGAATCCTGTAGATGGCTCATTCCTTATCTCGTCCGCGTCTGTTCTGCATCCTGGGGCACAACAGGAATCTACCATGTTTCCCGTTTGAGTTTTCTGACAATAACAAATAGTCCAGCTGCGGGCTTCTGCCTGCCAAGATGGCGCAGTTTCGATTTGAACTGTTGCATGCCGGGAGAAGTGACGTCAACTCCCGGAGCTCTATTGTTCTCTAAAACACCTTCAACACTAGCAGATACACATGCGTGCACAAAACCTCAACAACACCTGAAACAGTCATTAATATACATCATAAACATATGAACAATCGCTGACTTGTCCATGAAATCATAAACGCATACAGCCACACAGAAAACCAAGGTTAGCTAATGTTAGTGTTAGCATTTCCAGCGGCAAAACCCTGGACTGCTGCGGCGGTTGAGGGTTGACTCTCTTCATCCAGATCCGTAGGTGTTTGTGGGTCTGAGATCACTTCCAAAGATTCATTTGTTTCTGACTGAACCCGTGAGAATGTGGGCAACAAAAACCGATCCATCTTACCGCTAGCTCTACCTTTCACTCGTTCACAGGTGGAAAATGAGGTCAAACGTTAACATCAATTTCCTGTTTTGGTTTAAGTTTTTACTATCTATATGATAATTTACTGATTATTTTTTATTTGTATGTTAAATATGATCACATCCACACGTTAAATTAAAATTAAATTGTAAAAAAAAAAATCTAATATTTACTTGGGGGTGCTATGGGGGTGCAATGACTAATCCAGGGGTAGCTATAGCGCCCCCTAGCGCCCCCCCCCCCCCCCCCCGGCGCCGCCACTGAACGGAGGTGCCAGGAAGGAGAATGGCGATGGAGAAGTTCCATCAAATATGATGGTGCAAGGTTATTGAGGTATTTGTAAGGGATGAGGAGCAAATTGTAATGGAACCGGTATGGAACTGGGAGCCAGTGAAGCTGTTTGAGTACTGGAGTTATGTGGTCCCTGGAGCGAGTGTGGGTGAGTAAACGTGCTGCTGAGTTTTGGATGCATTGAAGTTTTTGTAGGGCTGAGGAAGGAAGTCCGTAAAGAATGCTGTTACAACAGTCCTGTCTAGAGGTTATGAAGGCAAAGATGAGTGTTTGGGCAGTGGAGTGAGTGAGGGATGAACTTGTAGATTTTAGTTAAAACTGAAATAAAAAATGTAAGTGTAGAATTTAAATTCAGCTACTTTAGAAAAGTGAGGTTTAGTTTTTATGTTGAAAAAAAAACGATTGTGTTGTAGTCGCTTTAGACAAATCTGGTAAAAACTGGAACAAAACCGCAATAAATCAATCGGCGCATCACATCTGTAAAAACTCACTAAGCTGGAGCCATTTCTGTGTCTGCTAATGTGTTGTTTTAAACTCCAAAACGGTTGTTTCTCAGAGTTTCATTAAATCCGTCGCGTGGATTAGGAGATTTACAGAAGAACAAAACAAACCTCACGATTGGGGTCGCTGACTGAGCTGGAATTGCTGCTTCACTCCTAAAAAACAAAAGCCTAATTTAGCTTTTTGGTTCCTCCTAAAGTACTGATCTGATTCTGCTGATTTGTTTATTGCATTTTTGTTTATTTATACCTGAACAGATGTTACTGAACAAATTAGAAAATCCTCACCTGACTGAGGTGAGTTCAGAGTTCATCAGAGACAGCTGAAGGCCGGTTTGATGGATCCTAAAGGTGAAACTCGTCAGTAAAACGTTGGGATGATCTGGGACCATTTTTCGGGAGCAGGGAACTCACCTGAGAGTTGAGATGTTTTTATTCAGCTGCAGGCAGCGATGCGCTAAACTCACAGCTTCTTCAGAACCAATCCAACTCTCTTCAACACTGATGGGAAAAAAAAAACGTTTATCTTCGTCGAGTGACCAGAAAATGTTGAGGGGTTTGTCTTCACCTGACTGTCAATCCTCTCTGACTGCAGGTTAAAACTCTTATGAAGGTTTCTATCCACTCCCACTGCAGCGTGTTGTTCTTTAATCTGTGGTGCAGCAACAATAAAAAAGCTGAAATCTAAAATAAATCTTATTCTTTAAATATATTTAAACCTTTAACATCTCCTGATTTTCTAATAACGCCAAATCAACATTGAAGAGAAAAAAATTGTTCTTTCCTTCTTGATTATAAAAATTATTTGCATATTGTTAAAATGAGTGTGGGACTTTTATTGTGAAAGATCAGATTATTTTACACCAGTCTGGTCAAACTGGGACAGCGGGAGACGATCTCTGCTAAGCTGATCAGATGATCTCGCTCCAAGCTGCCGTTGCTGATTCTGAAAAGCACAAACAGAAATATTAAAATCAATATCTGACCCTTTCTTTTATAACTGCTTAATAAAATTAATTAATATTTCAGGTTTAAATAGCTTACTTTTAATCATTATTAAAATCATTACTTCAGGTATTAAATGATGAAAGCGTGTCCAGGTGATTAAATAAACCCTTTAAACTCCCCCCTCAGAAGATATTTGGAATGTGCCGTCGCTATGGCAGCTCAACTCTGTCTCCTTTCCCAGCCTGGGCGGGACTGCGGGAAGGCCGCTGAAATGTTCCAGGGTCACTGCAACCCTCCAACCCTCAATGCTCCTCCCCCTATCCACACTGAGGTGACATGCGCTGCTTATCGTGGCTGCAGGAACTGAAGTGGGGATAGTCCCAACCCACCACCCCACCTAGTGGACACTTATGATATATATATATATATATATGAAGTCTGTTGCATTTCTGTCTGAGGTGTTTTTTTTGCAGAGCAAAGCTGCCCTCCTGGTGGGAGGGTAACTCTGAGGTGCCTTTTTCCCTCCACCTGAACCAATCCTCATGTAACCCTCTTATCTCTATTAAAGCCGGGCGTACACTGTGCGACTTTTTCACTTTTTTGAGCCGATTTTCCACTCGTGCAAGAATCCACAAGATCGGGGCGAGTTTTGCGCTGAGCGTCGTGTAGTGTACAGGGGGTTACAAGAGGCGATTAACACCACGTGACCAGCTACTGATCAGCAATCGTGAGCTCGCACGGACTTCTGGCGTGTTTAATATTTTGCTCGTCCCTCGTGTTGCTACCAGACGTACAGTGTGAGCAGTCAGGTTGCATCCGAGAACTGGGTCGTGCAGTGTGAGCACATGACTCGTGAGATCTGCCCTGCGATGAGGTCGTACAGTTTGAGCTGAAGCTGAGTGCTACGAGTGAAAAAGTCACACAGTGTACGTCCAGCTTAAGGTAGCGTGACTCAGGGTTGCGAATGACCACAGTCACCAATTCTTGTCCTGTGTCTTGCCCGTGTATGTCTGATCTCTGAATTGTGTGTACTGAAACTCTAATTTCCCTCTGGGATTAATAAAGTTTCTTTGATTTATTTGATTGATTGAAGGGTTAAACGTTGTTTTCTTCTCACCTGAGACTTTTCCCACTTTCATCCTGTCGTCTGAACCAGATGAGACATCGCTTCTCTTCTCCCAAACTACCAACCAACAGAAACTTCAGAACCGGTTTAGAACCTTCAGACATCTGACGGCGTCCATCCTGACTCACCTGGTTTCCACATCGGAAACGTCAGGGCAGGTAGAAAGTGTCGTGGCCACGCCCATCAGCCCCTGCCGGCTCAGTCTGTTGTAACTCAGACTGGATTAAGGTTAAATTAGAACATTAAACTTCATTTTCAAATCAAAACAAATCCATATTCATAATTATTCCTACTTGATGCAGCTGCTGATTTGAAGTTTTGGTAAAGAATCGATTAAGAACTTCACTCCTTCGTCTTCCAGCTGATTATCTGATAAACTGTCAGGAAAAAGGAGAATAAAATGATGAACAAGCCAGTAGAAAAGTCAGATTTTAGGAGTGAGTTTGTGTTTGAAGGATTTTGGTTCTTCAGGTTCGTACTCAAGGTAAGAAATCAGCTGATCTTGCTGCAGGATCTCCAGCAGGCGCTTCAGTGAAGCAACGTCTCTGAAACAAAAACCTGTTAACCTGTAAACAGAGAGAAGTTATGATTAATATTTAGATGTTTTATTTCCTTATTTTCTAGTAATTAGAAGAAAGTAAAATGCTATTTTATCCACAAAAGTTGTATTTTGCCTTTAAGTTTTAGTTTCATCGTTATCTCATCCTGCACGGTCGCGGCCTTCAGAAAAGAACTTTGCTTGAATTATTTTTGCTTTTATTCTTTTTCATGACTGTTTTTATAAACTCCTGTTTTCTTTCTTTAATTGTTGAATAACATCATTAAAGGGACTTTACGGAGTTTTTAATTTTTATGCTCGTGACTGCCCCCTCAGGCCAAAAGCGTGACGGCAGCTTCAATAGTAGGCTCGTGCACGAGGCGTGCATGCTGTACGTGCACACTCCTTAACGAAAATAACCGCTGAGACAGTCCCGTGTGTGTGTGTGTGTGTGTGTGTGTGTGTGTGTGTGTGTGTGTGTGTGTGTGTGTGTGTGTGGCCCGGAGGACAGGGGACAGGAGAACGCGTAGCTAATTAAATAATTTGGTTCTGTACCTTTCTCTTCAGCACAGCCGACAAAGGTTTATGATGGGTCAGTCCTCCTGCATGCTCAGATCATTCCCTTCCCTTGCTTGAAAAATTGTTCCAAAATGAAAGTTGAACCCACATCTTTTTTATCTGTGAATTCAATGCCGTTCGGGGAGTCTCAAATAAAAATTTGGGCGTCTTACTGTAAAAAAATATACCATTAATGTAAAAAAAGAAACTCTAAATAAACTATGTTCACATCCAGAATCAAACCCAGGTCTTCTGCATGGGAGTCCGATGTTTTACTAGGTGAGCTAAAGTACCAGTGACATCCTCTGTATCTGTAACATTTATATCCTTGATGACAGCTGAAACAACGTTCAAAGAACGGTTCAGAGTGAAAATGGCTATTTTGTTGCTAATTTGCAGGAAATATCTAGAAGAAAGTTCTACAGAAAGTAGCTAAGGGTCCTCAGAAATGTAGCTAGCTTTGTCACTAGGCGTTAGGAACAGCGACAAAGTGGCACTGCCTCTCTCTCTGCTGCTAAAGCTACGGATAGCAAATGCTACGGGCGATGCCTGAGCGTGAACGCGCATGAAGCAGCCTGCTCGACCCGAGCATCTCTCTTTTTCTGTGATTTTACAGAAAAACAGGCAATCACAGTAAAAATGCTAGGGCTCATTCTACAGGACCAGGACATTGCAGGAGAATGTATGAAGAAGACATTTATTATTTCTATTCATGTTTTGGCTGTCAAACTTCCATAATGCCCGTTTAAATCATTTAAATGAACGTTAAGTGTTTTCTTGTTTTGTTAAGATTTTTTAAATAGCTTTCATAATTTTTGTATTTTCACCACAAACACATTTTACTGACCTGCATTTGACTTCTTCTGCTTTAACTCCATCAAACATAATGAAGGATTCAGTCTGTGGACTAAAGAAGGAACATACAGAACAAAAAGTTTCCTCGCCGCCACGTAAAACCTGAGTGTCGCTGATGAAAGCAGCAGAAGTACGAGTGGTACCTGAACTCCACACAGGTGACTCTCTGATTATCAGTCAAGCAGCGGATTAATGACAATGCTTCAGTCACCATGGTGACGCTGCTGCTGACACTGAGGAAAAATAAATGTGTTACAGCTGGTAATAAATACACCCACATGACACATTTGTTGTTGTTGTTGTTGATGATGTTATAAAAGACCACACAGACCAAGAGACATAAATAAAACCTAAAACTAAAAGCTAAAAACATTAAAACTCAGTAATATTGAAACTGATTGTGCAAAGTCCCAGGAGTGCATAAAGAAGTGTGTACAGTTATTGTGCAGAGTCGTTTATTGTTATTAGTTTTGGAGGCCTTAGAGTTGTTTTTGTTGTCGCTGCACAAAGAACAGCAGCCTCCCTCATCATTTACACAAGCTTTGATGAGAGTGTTTATTGCTGCCTGGGTCGTATAATCTACCAGATGTTTCCATATTGCCAGAAATATGAATTTGCAATGGGGCTGCACAGTGGAGCAGTGGTTTGCTCTGTTGCCTCTTAGCAAGGAGGTCCTGGGTTCAAATCCCAGCCTGGGGTCTCTCTGCAAGGAGCCTGCATGTTCTCCCCGTGCATGCGTGGGTTCTCCCCGGGTACCCCAGCTGCCTCCCACAGTCTAAAAACATCTGTCAGGTGAGTTGGTCTGTCTAGATCAGGGGTGTCAAACTCACTTTAGCTCAGGGGCCACATTGATGAAAATCTAGTCCCAAGTGGGCCAAATGGGTAAATTAAAAAAAAACTTAGATTGTTTTCATTGTTTTAATACAATAAATATAAAACAAGGCTGGAGCCTGAGGACAGTATATCCAAAATAGTACAAGTACAACACCTGAAGAGTACTTGAAAATTTGAAAAAAAAAAAATTAATAAATAAAAAAACATTCCTTAGTGATTCAAAGTGCTCACAGATCACATGGCTAGATCAGTTTCATGCAGCACTTAAAGCAGGGGTGTCCAATCCTGGTCCTCGAGGGCCGGTATCCAGCACGTTTTTGTTTTAACCTGCTTCAACACACCTGATTTCAATCAGCAGGTGATTAACAGGCTTCTGCAGAGCCTGATGAGCTGCTGCACAGGTGATTCAACCAGCTAATCAAGCGTGTTGAAGCAGAAAAACCACAAAACCTGCTGGATACCGGCCCTCCAGGACCAGGATTGGACACCCCTGACTTAAAGTATATTTGACTCATTTTACTTTACATCTTTTAGCTTTCACCAGCACATCAATATCAGAAGTCACATCCTGAGTGGCGGCCAACTTCAGGATGTGATTCAAGTTCTTGTGTGAGCCTTGAGCGCAGCTTTGTTTTATTTATACTCATTACAGAGAAAACTTGCTCACAAAGATACGTTTATTTTCACTGCATTGTAAAGTATGAAAATAAAGTTTACACAACCATCTAGCGGGCCAGATTTAACCCGTTTGCGGGCCGGATGTTTGACACCCCTGGTCTAGATTATCCTTAGGTGTGTGTGTGTGTGTGTGCATGCTTGGTTGTTCTGTTTTTCCCTACGACGGACTGGCAACCTGTCCAGGGTGTACCCCGCCTGCCTGCTCGGAGCCCACTGGCAACAGGCACCAGCCCCCCAGCGACCCCGTGAGGATACGCGGGTAAAGAAAATGGATGGATGGATGAATTTGCAGCTAACAGACCTGAAGACATGTTGCTTTTAGTTTAGAGCCTTGACAAAGCTTTGTTCTGCTGATGAATGTAAACGCTGTGGAAATGAGCCCTGCTGGTCCACCTCAACGGGGATAGTTACTATAAGTAACTAAGGCTAGAGAATAAAATGTCCTGCAGCGACGGAAACCTTCTGCTTGTCTGATTATCGGTTTCTTCGTTTCTCTGGTCTTTCTCTCTACAAACACAAGTAATTCCAGAAAACCATGAAATCCACATTTCCATTAAAATAGTTCAACATTTGCATATCTACCCTGACCTTTCCCAGCAGCTGAGCTGGATCACAATCAGCTGATATCCATGTTTTTGTTTGTAATCTTTAGAATCACGCCCGCTGGTTTGAGTCTTACTCGAGTCTCTGCAGAGTCGACATATCTGGTAAGACTTTCAGCAGATTCCCGATCGCCTTCTCGCCAAAAGTGCATTTAGAGAACCTGAGGAAACAGTAAAAACATAAACGTAAACACTCAGTCATTCAAACCCAAACGCATCAGCCAGCCGTGACGAATCAGCTCACTCCAACTCCAAACCAGAGCGACACCGGGTCAGTCGTTTACATATTTTGGTGACATCAGGCGGGAGGACGCTGCTGCTCTTCATTCTGTAAAACACGAAATAAACATTCAGTTACAAAAACTTTAACATTTATTGTGTTTTATCCACCATTAGTCAGTTTAGTGCACCTGAACGCCTTTGTCGGATGTTTGTTGTCACTAAAATGAGAAAAAAAAAAAGAAAATATCTGATTAACATGAAGGTGTTGATGTGTAGATTCATGGTTTTTACCTGGAGTTGGGCCGGAGCTGCAGGAGCACCTGACCTTTACCTCCATCACTTCAGAAACAAATAAAGGAGACAAACATTTGGTCATGCACAGGTTGTCTCTGTTGCTGTTATTTATTTCGATCTGTTATGTTGAATGTGACGTTTTGTTCAAAGCATTCAAATTTAGTTTGTGTTTTTTAGTTTTTACATCTGAATAAATGTGGCCTCTTGTTCCTTCCTCCACTGCGTTTCCTGCTATAATAAAACCTTTTTAAGGGCTCGGCCGTGAATCCGACGGTACCTGATGTGAACGTTGCACAAAGTGTAACTGGAGCACAAAGCAGCAGCCAGGAGAACCGCCCCGTCCATGCTGACGCCGTTCTCACTCACACTGAAAAGCAAACGAGAACCACGAGCTGAAGCGTTTACACCGGATCACACCACGGCTGCAGGAACCGGTCTGGTTCACCCTGGTGCTGCCCAACGTCCACCACCCCGGAAGAGGAGCAGAAAGGGTTCAGGGTTCAGATCCGGAACTTACTTGACTCTCTGGACTTTTTTAAAATGAGACAGAACATCCAGCAGCTTCTTCAGACCTTTGTCGCCTAAACGATTTGAGCTCAGGCTGAAAGTCCAGGAAACACAAAGATGTCAGAGATTCTCACCGGGTCACGTTTACAGGAAGGTGATCTGGTTTATGTGTCTTACTCCAGAACAGCGAGGTCGGGCGAAGTTCCTAAACTTTTCAAGACTCTTTCCAGATCTTTGGGCAGCAGATTACAGCAGCTGAGGCTGAGAGGAAACATTTCTGATATTAGCCTGATTAAAACCAGATTTAACCAGACCAAAAGAATAAAAGATAAGAGGGTTAACCCTAACCAGTTAAATCACAAGTAAATAATAAGGTTGTTTCCATCCATCCATTTTCATCCGCTTATCCGGAGTCGGGTCGCGGGGGCAGTAGCCTAAGCAGGAAGGCCCAGACTTCCCTCTCCCCAGCCACTTGGGCCAGCTCCTCCGGGGGAATCCCAAGGTGTTCCCTGACCAGGTGAGAGACAAAGTCCCTCCACCGTGTCCTGGGTCTACCTTTAGGTCTCCTCCCTGTTGGACGTGCCCGGAAAACCTCACCAGGGAGGCGTCCAGGAGGCATCCTGACCAGATGCCCGAGCCACCTCAACTGGCTCCTCTCAATGTGGAGGAGCAGCGGGTCTACTCCGAGCCCCTCCCGAATGACCGAGCTTCTCACCCTATCTCGTAAGGGAGAGCCCGGCCACCCTGCGGAGAAAACTTATTTCAGCCGCTTGTATCCACGATCTCGTTCTTTCGGTCATTACCCAAAGCTCATGACCATAGGTGAAGGTAGGAACGTAGATCGACCGGTAAATCGAGAGCTTCGCCTTCTGACTCAGCTCTCTCTTCACCACGACAGACCGGTACAACACCCGCATCACTGCAGATGCACCAATCCGCCTATCGATCTCACGCTCCATCTTTCCCTCACTCGTGAACAAGACCCCGAGATACTTAAACTCCTCCACTTGGGGAAGGACCTCATCCCTGACCCGGAGAAGACATTCCACCCTTTTCCGACTCAAGACCATGGTCTCAGATTTAGAGGAGCTTCTTCTCATCCCAGCTGCTTCACACTCGGCTGAGAGCCGCTCCAGCGAAAGCTGAAGATCACGTTCTGATGAAGCCAACAGGTTGATAAGGTTGTTTATAAAAAGAAAACAATCAACTCATACAAACCTGAGTGTTTTAGACATTTCACTTCCAGGTTTGCCTTCAGCAAACCTAACTGATGCCTCGACTGGGTTCTGGAGTCTGAAACATAAAAATAAACGTTCCTCAGTCAGAAGTTCTGAGGAGTTTTCACGGGTTTGAAGAAACAGTCAACCTTGAGAGGGACTGGAGACTAAACTGCAAATAAGACGAGACGCTTTTCAGACACTTTGGGACTAAACTGGAACAAGAAAATGTGCATCACACCGTAAATGAGACGGATGGACGAGAAAAGGCGCAAATTAAGAATCTCCTCAGAAGAAGAACGCTGTTGGACTCCGAACCCGACTGTGTTTGTTTATTATTGTTGTTTCACGGATTCAACTGTAAATAAAACAAATATGTTAGATGAATCAGTCTTAAGCTACCTCAATCGTTTTCATTCAATCCTTCAAAATAAGAGTCTCAATAAAAAAAACTAACCTGAAACTGCTTAGTTTTTTAATCTATAAAATAAAACTTATTCTGTTTGTAAAAAAAATGCATTATTTACTGTTCAGATCCAGATGCAACCCAAGGAAGACATTTCTTTATTATTAAAACCTGAAGAATAAAATATCCATACTTTATTTACTCAAGGCATTATGGGTATTGTAGATCCTGATAATGTAACTTTATTTGAGAAATATTTTAACTTCTTTCTCATCGTTTTGTTGACTAAATCTTCCCTTTTGTCTTTTTAAACAGAATCTTATTTCAGTTTGGTTTTGTTCCAGTCGCAGCCCAGCCCAAAATTAAAGTGCATCAAATGAATCATGTGAATTTTCGTTTGTCTGCATGTTTGATTTGCAGACATCTTTAGGGAAGTTTCACTACCTGATTTGCAGATCGGACACTGAGGGACACTCGGACAGCAGAGCGGTCAGAACCACCAGACCCTCCACCGATGTGCAGCTGCCGTTCAAGCTGAGAACAAGAGAAAACCTGCTAGATGCTGCAGTTTAATACAGCGCTGCCTCAAGTTGGAGGCTTTTCAGGTCTTACGTGATCTTCTCAGTGATGGTGAGCTTTGGCACAAACTGAGTCAGCGTCTTTAAAGTTTCCTCATCCCACTGACCTCCCGACAGGCTGGAGACACACAAGCAGACAACTTCAGTAAAATCTCCGATGTGTGCAGGAGGGCCAGACTCAATCAATCAATCAATCAAAATTTATTTATGAAGCGCTTTTCATGCAAATGCAGCTCAAAGCGCTTTACAATATTAAAAACAACCAAACAGCAGTCAGTTTCCCACCCCTCCCACACAGATTCACTTAAGAGATCCCCTTTGTTTCTCCCTCCTCCCACCCTCAATCCCGTCCCAAGCAGATGCAAACTCCCGCACGCACGCACACACACACACACACACACACACACACACACACACGTAATAGAGAAAGGGCAGCTGGCTGAGTGCAGATGTAGTAGATACAAAGAAGACGAAAACGCCATCAAAGGAGCCAACTGCACCGGGGGCACCAAGATTGGCAGCAACAGCCTTGGCAAGAGGTGAAGCACCCCGGCCGCCACAGCCCACCGCTGCCCCCGGGGCAGTCGGCCCCCACAGAGGAAACACTAGTTTACTAATGAGACTGAGATAACAGTTAAGAAACAAATTAAACATAAACAGCTGATAATAAAAATCTAAATAAAACACAGAGATAAAAGACAACCAAGTAGAAACATATAATTAAATGTATAAAATATTGTACAACAAAGTATTAAGACTGGTTAAAACTAATAATTATTACAAGTTAAAATAAATATGTGGGAAAATATGTGCTAGTTAATTAAAAAGAGTAAGTAATAAAACACTGATAAAATCTATATAAATAAAATAAAATAAAAGGCAGGTTTCTGATGAAGGCACTAATCCTGATACTCCATCTGGGTCCGTTTAGGCCAGAGGTGGTTTGATGTGAATCTGAGACGATCGTCTACAACAAGGGTGGGGAATCTGGACCGTCGAGGGCCGCCATCGAACATATTTTAGTTTCAACCCTGCATCATCGCACCTGATTTCAATAAGCAGGTGATTAACAGGCTTTCGAGAGCTTGATGAGCTGCAGAACAGGTGAATCAACCACTGAATCGGAAGTGTTGGAGCCAAGACATGCAGGATACCGGCCCTCGAGGACCAGGGTTCCCCACGCCTGGTCCACAAAGTCAGACTCTCTGCTTCTTTGTTTTGATGCTTTGGGTAGAAAGTTTACTTACTTCAGGACAGACAGAGGAGGACATTTAGTCAGAGACTTGGCAAACTTTTGCATGTCAGGCTTGTTCCACTTCTGATTCAACAGGCTAAAATACAAAAATGAATTAGTTCTACACAAAAATAATCAAAAAGTACAAAAACAGCTTTTGTTTCCAAGGTGACAGAGGTAAATAACAGCAATTATGTTGTTCCAGTAAAGGTTATCCCTGACTTTGTGGATCTCTCTGATCATTTCTAGTAAATGTTATCAGTGTGAAACGGAGCCAAAAGTTTAATCAAGCAGTAAAATCCTACCTGACTGCTCGTTCAGGATTCGTTTTACGGCTTCGGGTGGGAAACATAAAAGATGTTATAAATTAGTTGGATTTTTTTTTATTGCTTTATTCTCTCAATCAACCATAAATACCTGTTTACGTCTGAGCTCTGAAGAAACGTTACAGTCAGCTCTTTGTTCCCACTGCAAGGACAAAAAGGGAGAAACCTAATCAGATAAGTTAACATTTATTCGTTAAATTAAAACAGTCATCCAGAGGGTTTCCGTACTCTGCGTGAACTTGTTGAACGTTCAAACAAAACGTCATTTTCTCAACGAGACACTGGGCTGCTTTCAGAGACGCGTTGTTACGTCCCAACCTGGACAAACACATGAAGAACGTCTCTGTAATCCACGTCTATAAACAATCAGAAACAGCAGCAATGAAGGAGGTGTTACGTCATTATGGTCTCACGTTACGGAAAGCAGGTTTTGTAGTTTGGGGAAAATCTCGGCTACATGTCTGATTCCTTCGTCCTGCAGATTGTTGTCGCTAAAGCTGAAACACGAAACAAGACATGAACCGAGGGCACCATTTCAGATCTTCCTGACACATTTCTTTCATGAACCATTTTATTTTTGCAGCAATTACAAGGTGGAAAACAACAGTTTTCACTACTTAATTCAAGTCTTGAAATATAAAAGTGTGCAGCAGCTTGGAGCTATTTTAACTCATTTAGTATCCGCCGTGCAGCGATCGTTTCGGCGTGAGCCGCGAGTGAGCTGCGTCATTTCTGGCAGGAAGTCAAACCAAAACAGAAGAGGCAGGCTGGTAAATGTAACAAAATAAAGAAATGTTTCAAAATAAAACACAGCGATTGATAAATGTGATCATTTTTGTGTATTTAAACAGACTAGAGAGATGAAAATGAGCACATACACACACTCACTCCTGCGGAGAAACATAGCTGTATTTCCATTCCATTTCTGTAGTTTGAATGCAGTTTTTACAACAAAAGATGAATTTAATAAATGTGAATACAAACAAATACGTTTATTTTAAAGGTAAATATACAACAGTATAGGGATGTCCCCGATACTGGTATAGGGATGTACCGATACAGGTATCGGTATCGGTGCAGATACCGATACGATACTGTATCGGTATCGGTAAAAGTTAACCGATACCAATGCATTTGCTTGAAAATGGCTTCACTGTAACTTGTCATTTCTGTTCACCTAATATTTTAGTTTTTTGATTATTTTTATTCATACATTTCACTTTTTATCTACCTCACAGCCTTTTCCTGTTGAAAGCAGAGAAGAAAATAATCATCATTGCATTTTTTGTGTGGAAGAAGTATAGGTGTCGGTAATCGGTATCGCGAGTATTCAGATCCAAGTATCGGTATCGTATCGGTTTGGAAAAGAAGTGGTATCGTTGCATCCCTACAACAGTATTGTACACCACCACAAACAGTTATTTACTTAAAGAGCAAGTCACCCCCAAATCCACTTCTTTTTTGCTGATTAACTATATAAATGAGTGTCTAACCATGCTGTAGACACATGCAGTCAATCATTTGGCACTTAAGTGCATCTTAGTTAAAATTTTAATATTCTGCCTAAAACTGTCATTGTTGCACAGTTGTCAGGTAAAAACTCTGCAATGCATTTAAATTTAATCTGCCATTGCTATAGGCTAAGAAGTACACTATGATGTCAGCTGGTACATTATGAGGTCACAATGTCGTGTGTGTGTGTGTGTGTGTGTATTTGTTAGTGGCTCCGCCCTTTCAGTCTGCCAGGCAACAACATTTTTTGCATTTTTCAAACAGGAAGTGGGAGTGGAGTAAGACTCTGGCAGGGGGTGACTTGCTCTTTAACCATTTAGAAAGGAACTGGTCTACAAAACAGCAGCAGGATCAGCGCTGTATCTGACATCAACAAGCAGGGCAAACTGGTCACACACACACACAGCAAGGGTACGGAGTGGGTGGGGGGTTTGGAAAACAGTAGGCGTGAGCAGAAGCGCTCGTCAAAAATTCTCGCCTGATGTGAACAGAGGAGGAGCGGACAGTGTGCATATTTCGTGAGCGTGGCGCTTCGCAGCTGGTGTGTTCTGGGCATCGAGGGGGGGGGGGGGGTGACTGATCCAACCTGCTGGGCCGGTAGACGAGGCACGAAACTTTATTGCACTCATAAAAGATATGGGGTCTATTGGTGAATTGGAGCCTAAAAGTAGGCACGCTATAACTCCATCATTTATCAGCACTTCAATCGAGAACAGAGACATATCTGGCTTTTGGAGAAACAGGAAATGAGCAAAAAGTAGATTTATGTTAAATTGTTATTTTTTTCACACTGGGGGGTTTTATAAGCTGCCTGGTGTCACATTTTACTGTTTAATTTTTACCAGGGAGGGTTACTATGAATTAAGATCCATGTGACTATTTAGAGAATGTCTGACTCACATTTTCTTCCTGGTAGTTTGGTAGAGAACCTGTAAGGTCACACCTCTAGACTCTGGTATGAAAGTTGCCAGGCAGGATTCATTCATTCATTCATTCATTCATTCATTCAAGGACCTTGGATTACACCAATCACACATACTTGATCTCAGTGATGGTGGCACATTCCTGCAGACCCGAGGCCAGACTCGCCGCCCCTGCAGCTGTCAAACTGGCACCACAAAACCTGGAAAAGAAGCAGATCCAATCATGAAGAAAGAATCACTTCTGATAAATCAAAGCAATAAAATGCAAGAAATGAAAACCTACTCAAGTTTCCTCAGAGTTCTGAATTCAGGCAGAACGGTTGACAGCTTCTCTGCAAATTTATCACCATATTTGCGTCTCCGAAAACTAAAAACAAAAAAAAAGAAAATTGCAAATTAAATCATGCAGACGTGAATTCTGAGCTAACAGCTCGTCATTGCTTCCTGTTTGTTTTGTTCTCTAAACTTTGTGTTCATCAGCATGAACCTTCCCCTGAGTCCAGGCATGACTATACATGTCAGATATATCAGATATAAAGTCAAAACGTTGAGAAATTTCACCTCCATTGAGGTCAGAATTAGCAACAAATTGGTGATGTGACGTTCGCGAACGAATCAAATCTTTTGAACGCGTTTTCAAATTGAACGATGAGAGCCAAGTCCCTGTAGAGAGCCGTTCATCTTGTCTTGCGGTAACAAAACTCCCCAGAAGTCGGTAAAGCGCACCCGCTCAAACCCCACCCACCGCTGTGACGGGCTTAGGAGGAACCCTAACCAACCCCGTGCGTCCTCATGGACACTGCAGGAACACGTTGCTCTTAACAATCTTAATTTTTAGGTGGTTCTGGGTGTGTTTTAGGGATGTAATAAAATATCGATATGGCAATATATCGTGATATTTTTCCCAGCAACATTATATCGATATTCAAAAGCCGTGTATCGGAAATATCGATATGGCAATATATTGTGATATTTTTTCCTGCGATTATTACATCGATATTCAAAAGCTGTGTATCTAATTCCTGAAAGAATTTACATGCAAACATTTGTGTATTTTCTTTTCGTTTTGCGCAATTCAATCGCCACCCGCTAGTTGGCAGCAGTGTGCAACGGGTTTTGTTTCCACCACTGAAATGTAAATCCCTCCATCATGGTTCAGATACCTCATGTTAAACATGTTACGTATCAGTTTGGACTGTTTATTGAACATTCTTACAATAAATTCAGTAAAAAAAATTGCTTGTAACGTCTGACTGAATGTATCGCAATATGTCGTGATATATCGTATCATCTCCCCTGTATCGTGATATGTATCGTATCGCCAGAATTTCAAAAATACACATCCCTGGTGTGTTTCTATTTAAAGTTGTGCTTGAGTTGATGCTGAGGTCAACAGAAGGACGCTATGGTCATACTGGATAATTTTTTTTACACTAAACTGTTTATATCCATCCAGAAGTCCAGCTGGTGTCATGGAGAACAAGTGTTGAGGTGTCAAAGAGCTCATCTAAGTCAGACATAAACTTATCTGCTGCTTCACTCCTCCAATGTCAGGAACCACAAACTGTTTAAAAAAGAAAACTTCTATGTTTAAATCTCTGAAAGCCTGTCAGCAGACATCGCTGTCCATCCACCTGAGGTCATGAATGTTCCGACACCAGGACAGGACATCTAGACACTCCAGGTCCATCGAACATGAACCAAAGTCCAGACCGGCGCCGCTGTCAGCTGCTGAGTTGACGACAAAAGCCAAAGCATGGATATCGTTGGGCCACAGGCAGAAGTTCCTCAGCTCCAGGGTCGGCCTCGCACTCACAACCTGCCGGGCCAGGTCCTGGTCCTGGCTCTCCTGGACACAGTGGCAAAGCTGCAAAATCTGGTCCCAAAATCAGGAGAAGAATTAATAAAAAGATAAAGGAACCTCTTTTATCGAGTGTTATTTTGTTCACATCACCTTCGGTCCCGTTAGAGTGCCAGGACACTGAGTTTTCAGTAAATCCACGATGCAGGTTTGGCGTTTCTGGACCCAGCTCTGGACGCCCTTTGAACGGGACTCCCTGGCAAACAGAACCAGGGCCTCAGTGCAGCGTGAGGACGCCAAACCACACACAAACAGGTACAGCGAGTCGGTAAACACCGACTTCTGGTCTGATTTAGTTATCCAACGAGTTTTCAGGCTGAATCTGAACCAGGAAGAGGAAACACTTCAGTTACATCACAACCTGGAAAAGTTAAGTAAAGCTCAGATCTGAGATCGGGGTTAGAAACCAAACACGTTTATTTAATTCTCTCACCTCTTCTTGAGCTGCTTAATAGTGAGGTCTTCACTCGTCATAATTCTCAGAGCAGCCAGAAACTCCTGAACCGTCTGGTGGACGAAGCTGTAGGCGCTGACGAGCTTCCCGTCGCCGCGTCTGAGCTCTACCTGACAGGAAAACATTAAAATGAACACGTAACGTACAGAGAATAAAGTCTGATGCTGGTTAATAATCTCAGGCTGCAGCAGGGACAGCAGATGCATGATATCACCTTTTCTTCACAACAAAACTCTCAGATGAAAATATAAATCCAAACTAAGGGAAAAGTCTCATTATCGGTGGAAAAAACACCTAAAAACAGAAACCAGGTCTGACCTGTCGGAGGAGTCCGGTCCGGACTGAAAACGCTAAAATATTCCCTGGAATGTCTTCTTTCATAAACAGGATCTTACTCTTCTCCAAACTTTCCCATGCCAGCCGACTCAGCTCACACAACTTAGATGAATACCGACTCAGTTCACGCAGACAGCTAGAGGAAAACACAACACAGGTGTGTTCATTCACATTTAATTAAACCCATATATTGTGTGTGTGTGTGTGTGTGTGTGTGTGTGTGTGTGTGTGTGTGTGTGTGTGTGTGTGTGTGTGTGTGTGTGTATGCTTGTTTTTGTGTGTGTGTGTGTGTGTGTGTGTGTGTGTGTGTGTGTGTGTGTGTGTGTGTGTGTGTGTGTGTGTGTGTGTGTATGCTTGTTTGTGTGTGTGTGTGTGTGTGTGTGTGTGTGTGTGTGTGTATGCTTGTTTTTGTGTGTGTGTGTGTGTGTGCGTGTGTGTGTGTGTATGTGTGCATGCGTACACGCTTGTTTGTGTGTGTGTGTGCGCACGTGTGTGCGTGCGTGTGTCTGTGTACGTGCATACATGCTTCTTTGTGTGTGTGTGTGTGTGTGTGTGTGTGTGTGTGTGTGTGTGTGTGTGTGTGTGTGTGTGTGTGTGTGTGTGTGTGTACGTGCATACATGCTTCTTTGTGTGTGTGTGTGTGTGTGTGTGTGTGTGTGTGTGTGTGTGTGTGTGTGTGTGTGTGTGTGTGCGTGCGTACATGCTTGTTTGTGTATGTGTGCGCACGTGTGTGTGTGTGTGTGTGCGTGCGTGTGTCTGTGTACGTGCATACATGCTTCTTTGTGTGTGTGTGTGTGTGTGTGTGTGTGTGTGTGTGTGTGTGTGTGTGTGTGAGTGCGTGCGTACATGCTTGTTTGTGTGTGTGTGCGCACGTGTGTGTGTGTGTGTGTGTGTATGCTTGTTTGTGTGTGCGTGCGTGTGTGCATACATGCTTGTTTGTGTGTGTGTGCGCGCGTACATGATTCTTTGTGTGTGTGTGTGTGTGTGTGTGTGTGTGTGTATGCTTGTTTTAGTGTGTGTGTGCGTGCGTGCGTGTGTGTGTGCATGCGTGTGTGCATACATGCTTCTTTGTGTGTGTGTGCGTGCGTACACGCTTGTTTGTGTGTGTGTGCGCACGTGTGTGCGTGCGTGTGTGTGTGTGCGTGTGCATGTGTGTGTGCGTGCGTACATGCTTCTTTGTGTGTGTGTGTGTGTGTGCGTGCGTGCGTGCGTGCATGTGTGTGCATACATGCTTCTTTGTGTGTGTGTGTGTGTGTGCGTGCGTGCGTGCGTGCGTGCATGTGTGTGCATACATGCTTCTTTGTGTGTGTGTGTGTGTGTGTGTGTGTGTGTGTGTTTACCTCTCAGGAAATCTCGAGGTCCTTGTCTGGTCGTTTCTTCCTCTTGTGTGAGGATGTCGGCTCAGGAAAGCAGCAACAACAGCGAGGTAGACTTGGGTTCGAGTTGTGGGGACTTCAGGTAATCCAGGTGAAATCTCTGATTCTCCTGCAGATCCTTCTTCCTCTCTCTTTGTGGAACTTCCTCCCCTTTTGCCTCCTTCTGGAGTTTGTGCTCTGTCTGTATTTTTGCTTGCCAGCAGCAAAAACTCCAGGACCATGCAGCAAATGTTGCAGAAGGCAGGGATGGAGGACATGGTGAGGAGGTGATGATTAGAGAGGAGGAGATCTGCTGCCTCTGTTTGAAGACTTCCATCTGACCCGTGAAAATAGTCATTAAGACAAAAACTAGTTTTAATTCAAAGTTAACTCAAACTCAAGTGTTTTCTATTCAATTGGACAAAAAAAACTTAGGTTTTAACCTCTAATACCAAAGTATCCATCCACATATTCTCTTATCTCCTGCTGGTCCCATGGCAGCAGCTCCCCCACTTTGTCTGGTAATCCATCAAAATCGGACACATCTCGCACACGACAGGTCACCAACACTGTGCTTCCTGGGAGAAGCTGACGATTCAACAACCCTGAGAGGAGGTCCGTGACAGGTAGAGGTTCCTCTACGTCCAGAGGCTCCGTTTGTCTGTGGAACTTCCAGTGAAACTCGTCGTAGCCGTCCAGAACCCAACAGCTTTGACCTGGATTAGAAAGGAGGTAGTCCACGACGGCTTGCTGCTCCAACAAAACAAGAAGATTCAAGGACTCAAATCAACCAGAGAGCTTCAACTCTGAGTATCAGTGGTTTAAAATTCTCCTAGAAAGTTGAAGAACTGTGTGAGGCTGCAGCTACCTTTACGTCGTCGTTCAGAGGAGGGGGGAGACAGTGCTGGAAGAGCAGATCTGACAGGGACACGGGGGACGACAGCAGGTTGAGCTGACGAAACTCTAACAGGACAAACAGGGTGGATGAAGGGATGGGGCCCTGGAAGAAAAAGGTGAGAAAAAGTCAGACGAATGGTTATTTTCTCTCTGAGGAACTTTCTCTAATCTAAATTCAGAAGCTCTTAGCCCAGTCAGGGGGCGTCCAAAAGTCCTCTGAGGGGCACGTTTGGAAACACAGATGATGAAACAAACTCTAATTAATTAGAGGCAGTCATCGAAGTTTTCTTTCATATTTGTTTTTGCCATTTGTAATGTTTGCGTGTCTTTTCCGGAGTTGCTGCCTTTTAGATAATATAGGTGCATTCAGAAGAATAGAAAAAAGTTCAATAAATCCAAGTTTAGTTTAACTTTCATCTCAGTAAAATAAAGTCTGCAGCAGGGGCGGCGTTAGGCCCGGCTACTTGGGCTCAAGCCCCGAAGGTTTTATGAAAAGCCCCGGATCTAAATCGCGGAAGTAGCATGCAGTACCAAAGTCCAACAGAGAGGGAGCAGCTGGCAGTAGTTTGTATACAGCCTGCCTGAGCCTCCACCACTGAAGAAGAAGCCCTTCAGCAGCCGGCTTCTTCTGCAGTCTCTGCCTGAAACGCATGAGTGAAGATGGACATAAGGACGTTTTTTAGACCAAAAGTGCAACGACAGAACCCCAGCTTTGATGAGACTGGTGCTGACTCAGGTTTGTGAGTCTTATTTGAAAATATTTGTTGTGCTGCTGGTTTGCCTAAAGTTAGCTTACTATCAGGTAAAGTTGTTGGAGAAAGAAAGGGAATATTTACTATCATCTCACACTAAACACTAACAGGAAAAATACTCTGCCCTGAATATGCTGAATATGTAGCTTCAGATTAAAAATTATGTGATACAAGACATATATATATATGATGTTGACTAGTGCGTGTCACGTGTGTGTGTGTGCGCGCGCCTGTGGGTTAAGCCCCGGATCTTCTTCAGTCCCAAAGCCGCCCCTGGTCTGCAGCATGAAAACACAACTACAATTACAGTGATACGGTATGCATCTGATGTTATCTGCAACACTGGTTTCTATGAAACTGATCAAATAAACTTTTAATGAATCGGATGATTTTTCTAGAGCTGCAACGGCTCTATCCTTTAAATGAAAACGAGACTTCAGAAGAACGGGAGCTTACTAATCCATCAGCCCACTGCTGCCCAAGACAGGACATAAGCAGCGTTCTTCCTGATCCAGCCGGTCCACAAAGAAGCGTCACTTTTCCTGCACATCCCTGCAGGAAGGACTCCAAAGTCAGTCTGGACTCCAAACACCCGTAATCCAAGCCAAGCTCTGGATGGGGAAGGAAAATGCAGATTTCTCAAGATACGAACAAACCTCAACCTTAGAAACTTCATTTTTAATACAAATTTTCTAACTTTATTTCTATTTTTCCATTTTCTTATAATGAATCAGCTTTGTAGCTTTTCGGTGGTGCAATAAAATAAGCAGGAAAATCCTCCTGACCTGGTGTTCTGCCCCCTCGGTCTGCAGATCCGGGGGTCCGATCGGGTCGCTCCCTGCCCCTGTTTGCAGCTCTGAGGCCGACCCAGACCTTTTCCAGCTGCACATCCTTCACTAAACCTTCAGACACGTTCTTCCACCTCCTCTGATGAAAATCTGTGGCTGCTTTGATGTACAGCTCCCAGTAATCTTTCAACAGAAAAGGTTTGGAAGCACAAACTAAAACTGTAAATGTTATGGTTGGTTCGTGCACGTGCACGTTCGTGTAATCATGTGCCTGTTGTACCGATCCGTGGGCGTTTAGTGAGCTGCTCCTCCAACTGCAGAGATGATGGCTCCTGATTCGTTACGCTGGGAGTCGAATTTTCACCTGTCAGAAAAAAATTAAAACATCAAAAACTGTGTAAAAAAGACTTTATCAAGAACTTTGCACTGAACAGCTTTACTTTAGTCGTGAGTTTTGAAAAAAATCCTAAAAAATCAAAGTAAGGAGACTTGGGGGATTCAGAATAGCACAAAACGAACTTTTGCATTCTTTTCCAGCTGATTGGTTTAATCTGCTGTGAATCCCGCTGCAATAAAACTAAACAAATTAAAACGTACTGATATAAATTGTTTATCTACTGAGTTCAATTATTCATTAGCTTCTTTTGTTTGATGAAATGAAAAAAACTGTTTCAATCAAACAGCAAACATTTCAAAATAAGAGTTGCCAGGCTAAAAGATAATCATTACACATTACGGAGTTCAGCGCTGACCTTTGCCCGTCTGTGTCTGCAAACATCATGAATCTGTTACCTGGACTTGAATGTTTTGCACAAAAATAATTGATGAAATAAGATTTGAAAATCTGCCATTCTGAGTTATTTGGTTTGATAAAGTCACATGGCTGCAGCAGCCATCTTTAATTTAGTTGATTCCATCTAGTCTCTTTCTGTGAGTTTTATTTAAATGAGTTAACTGATTCGTGATATTTGGCTAAAACTGGCAAATCAATTAGTGCCAAAAGGCTAAATCAAACCACAGCTTCTATTATTAATATTAGTAGTAGTAGTAGTAGTAGTAGTAGTAGTAGTAGTAACAAATGACTATGTTTTTTTGAGAAAAACAGAGAACTACCAAAACCAGGTTAAACAAGGCAACTTCTAGTTAGGCTGTACAAACACACACACACTAACACACACACACATATGTACACACACACAAGCACTCACACACACATATGTACACACACACACACATACACACAAACACATGTGCACACACACACATACTCACACACACATATGTACACACACACACACACACACAAGCACTCACACACATATGTACACACACACACACATATGTACACACACACACACACACACACACACACACACACACACAAGCACACACACACATATGTACACACACACAAACATATGTACACACACACTCACACAGACACACACACAAGCACTCACACACACATATGTAACCACACACACACAAGCACTCACACACACATATGTACACACACACACACACACACACACACACACACAAGCACTCACACACACATATGTACACACACACACACACACACACACACACACACACACACAAACATGTACACACACACATACGCACACACACACACACAAGCACTCACACACACATAAGCACACTAACACACACACACTCACACACAAGCACTCACACACACATACGCACACACGCACACAAACATATGTACACACACACATGCACTCACACACACACACGCACTCACACACACATATGTACACACACACACACATATGTACACACACACACACACACACAAGCACACACACACATATGTACACACACACACATATGTACACACACACACATACACACACAAGCACACACACACATATGTATACACACACACACACACACACACACACACACACAAGCACTCACACACACATATGTACACACACACACACAAACATGTACACACACACATACGCACACACACACACACAAGCACTCACACACACATAAGCACACTAACACACACACACTCACACACAAGCACTCACACACACATACGCACACACGCACACAAACATATGTACACACACACATGCACTCACACACACACACGCACTCACACACACATATGTACACACACACACACATATGTACACACACACACACACACACACACACACAAGCACACACACACATATGTACACACACACACATATGTACACACACACACACACAAGCACACACACACATATGTATACACACACACACACACACACAAGCACTCACACACACATATATACACACACACACACACACACACACAAACATGTACACACACACATACGCACACACACACACACAAGCACTCACACACACATAAGCACACTAACACACACACACTCACACACAAGCACTCACACACACATACGCACACATGCACACAAACATATGTACACACACACATGCACTCACACACACACACACACGCACTCACACACACATATGTACACACACACACACACGCACTCACACACACACACATACGCACACACACACACCCAAGCACTCACACACACACACTAGGGCTGCAACAAACGATTATTTGGATAATCGATTAATCGGATGGGGTCTCGACACGATTAATCGATTAATCGGATTACATGGGGAAATTTTTAAAAACTGCTAGGGAAATGTTATTTCTCTCCTTCCTTCACTTTATTTAACACAACATCATTAGAAAACAGTTCAATAGCAGAAAAACAACATGCCATCACCTAAATTGTCTTATAAGGTGTATAGACAGAGACCCTAAGCTACATCTATCTGTGACCTAAAATGCTTGGTCCAAGTTAAACAGCTTAAGGGCAATTCTCATCTGTTTTGTTTGATCTCATCTGTAGACATTTATTATAACTGGGGATGTCAAACAACTAATTTTTAAATGTAATTAAACATTGGCTGTGAATTAATCAAAATTGATCACTATTTCCAAAAATGACTGAAAAAATAAGTTGTCACACACTCCATGGAAACTTTAAGAGAATCCACAAATAGTGGCTTTCAAATGGTTTTGTTACTTTTTGCAAGTTTAGAAAAGCAGCAGATGAGACAGCATGTCTGATCATTTAGTTTTTCATCTGATAATATTAGAACATGTCAGTAATGTCTGAGGGGCTTTTATAAACACTGTATAACTAACACTACTGGAGAGGGTATGAATTACACAGAGGCTTCTGGGGAGCCCAGTTATGGGGGGGGGGGGGGGGGGGGGGGGGGGGGGCATTTTGCCTTGGCCCCCAAAATGTCTTGAAACGGCCCTGGGTGTGTGACTGAGTGTTGAAGGTGATCTGAATTGTATCAAATTTATAAATATTACATGTGTGTAACTTATTGTTTTATAGGTAAAAACGTGTAGTGGAGATAAATCTATCTACCTTTTACTTTTCAACACTTTGTTTTGTTTTCTTGTTTTTATTGAACTATTTTTCTGTCCTGTCTGTCTCTCATCTTCCTGCATCTCCTCTTAATTCTCCAGAAAAACTGCTGCCTGGATTCTTACTTTTTCACCTCATCAGTTACTTCTGAGCAGATCAAAGGGATCTCCTGACTGCAAAGCGCAGAGCGCGTTTTCGATGCTGCGTGACGTGAAATCACCGCAGCACAGGTGATGAGCTCCACAGTAGCAGAGTGCTGCAGGCACAAATAAGACAGAAAATAGACAACATGTGCAGACATGAACGATCGTGTGCTAATTATAGTTTTTTGGTTGCGCCACTTTGAGAATGGACCGTGCGCTGGAAGCAGCAGCCTGGATCGCTGTGCAACAATGCGCTGTGCCGCTCTCTGCTCAAAAGAGTCCAAAAATGATATAATATAGAAAACTTTTCTCCGGTTCCCCTGGATGTGTAGGATATACAGCTCCACCATAATTCGATCCCTGCTCCTGGATGAAAAGCCGGACATTTTCATCAATACAAGAACCCGCAGTCCGGACGCGCGGACAGAGAGTGAAAAGTGGACACGTCCGGGGAAAACGGAACGTACGGTCACCATAGTCCTCATAAAGCGGGAAATTATAGATACAGTATTGTGCTCGTGCCCTGGGCCCTTTAGAGTTCGTGGGCCCTGGGCAATTGCCCAGTTAATCCGGCCTTGGGCGGAACCGGTTCGCAGCAGCGCGAGTCCCCCCCCCGCTCATCTAATAAGCGTCGCGCTCACGACTTTAGACTCTTTTTTTACGAGCTTAGGGTATGTCTAGCCTGTGTAATGATCCGGGACTTGGATGAATAACTTTTGAAAAGTTTTTAATTTACCCGGACACAGAGTTCTCTCCTTCCTCGCTGATGATCCCGACACGCTTTCGTTTAAGACGCTGCATCATCCCGTGCCATGCTAAGTCTGACCTAAACGTTGCAGGTAACGAATGTCTTCGCCTGATTTAACTGAAAATGCTCCCAAACTTAAAAAGTTTTTACTTTTTTGACTCTCGCTGCTTCTGCCATGTTCCTCTTCCAAACACCTGCCGGCTCTCCCTCGCGCTGATCTGTCTGCGCGCAACGGCGGGCGGGAAGGGGGGGCACTTTTGGAAGAGTTGTGCGACACAACGAATCGATGACGCAATTCGTTGCCAACGCTTTTAGTAATCGATTTTCATCGAATTTATTGATTCGTTGTTGCAGCCCTAACACACACACACACACACACACAAGCACTCACACACATATGTATACACACACACACACACATATGTACACACACACACGGGGACACTCTCCCACTAGGCCACAGAGCTGGTAACAGGTTAGTAAAATCTGCTGACACCGTCCCAACTCACTGCTCGCATATCCTGCCACAGACAGCAGCCTGGACTCCAGATGCATGGGCATGTTCTCACACATCACACAAACGCTCTGAAGGAAGTTTCTGCATTCTGCAGCGCTGGCCCCTCTGAAGTACTGCAGCAGGGCGTTGACATGGTCCACTGAAGCTGCAGCAGAACCGGTGGATGCCTGCTCATCATGGCGGCCCGCTTCATGGGGCAGCATTTGGCAAAGAGACATGATAACTGATGGAGACTGACTGCAGAGGATCTGAAATAGTTTAGAGGACTCCTGAACCAGAACACACTTCACATTTTCATCATCAAGCTCCTCCTCATCCATGGTCAGACGCCATCAGCTGAAACACAAAAACATTCAGCTGTTGGTTTAAGCAACACAAACTGCAGATTTGTGCAAAAACAATATGCTTTTGGTTTTTTTACTTAAAGGTTTTGTTGTTTTGATTCTATTTTATTGCTTTATTGTTTATTTTCCAAATAACTAATCAGCTGTCGTTGTTTTAAATGTGCTCTAAAAATAGACATGACAATAACTGTATGTAGCATGACATGATTTTCTGGAGCTTTTTTGCCATATTGCTTGAAATGCTTCACGTACTGATGGCAACTAATGAAGTAAATATTTAGTGAAATATGAATTATTTTAATAGCCTCTGAAACGTCAAATCCTGGAAAATCCTAATCCAATCATTGTGAATGTCTCATTCCTGCAGGATCCATCAAACTGCCCACCCTCTGCACATACCCAAGCAGGAATCACACGTTCTCATCTTGGAGCAGCTGAACAGGAAGTGAAGCCAGAGCCAGGCTGCATTAGCTAGCATGCTAATTTATTATCTGGTTATGTAGCCTGAGCGAAGTTTAACAAGCCTTGTCCTCCGTGTTGGATCTCTGATATAGCTCCTAGTGGCTTCTCTGAGTCCAGAGAGCTCCTGACCGGCACCAAACTATGAGGAGTCTGTGATTACCTGGAGGCTCCGCAGCTAAGGCGTAGGTGCGCTACATCAGGAAATATGGCAAAAAAGATGCAACGAGTCAAAAGGGAAGGATAGCTTTATGTTTTTATGGTTGTTTGTTCTGGGGGCGTGGTTTGGGGGCCTGGGGCGGGGCCTGAAGATAGGGGTTGGACCTTTGAATATTGTTTTTTTCAACATATAGGCTACTTCTCTGTAGAGGATTATCACTGCTTCATAATAAATGCAGACAGAATAATTCAGCAGTATTTCACCACATTTAATTTCCAACCACGACGTTAAAATTTTTAAAAAAAATTCTAAATGTTGAAACTGATCAACGTGCATAGAGATAAAAACAAGATTTACTGATGATTGTGGATTAAAATGTTCATTCAGTCTCACCATCAAAGACAGTCTTGAGACCTTAGATCTCTTTACCCTACTTTTATTTTGATAGGCAGCCGTCTGGATCTGTATATTTAAAACAGACACATTACGTTTGACCAGCCCCCCACCCCCCCACCCCCCCCCCACCCCCCACCCCCACCCCCCACCGCGCGCGCGACCCCTCGTGGACAAAGCGGGTTCAGACAATGGATGGACATTACGTTTATAACCGGTGATTAAAAATTTGCCTTTATGCATTATTAAACAAATAACTAGAAACGGAAGTCATGTCTGATATAAAAATCTTCATTTTTGTGGTCCAACCTAATCCATGATGCCATCACGCGCTGTTGGTGCCTTTTGCGCGTCGCTGCTTTTGCGTCAAACTTGGAAACACTTTAATCGCTTTATCCACCAACACGGAGCTTCTACTGGACCCTAACATCCAGTCCTGTGGTGGGGATGTGGGGACCAAAGCCTGTCGGTGGGGACCGACAGGGTGGGTTTTCAGAGCGGTTTTCCTTTGTGGCATGAGTCTGTCCTGAGGTAACCCCGGGTCGTTTCAGGTCACCAAGCGCAGAGCAGTTTTTAGATGGAGCAGCAGGACGCGGCGCTCCTCGTTCTGTGCCTGTTAGAATAAACCATCGACATTCATATAAACCCAGAGAAAAGAGACTCACCTCCGCCTGTCGCAGACTGCATCTCTCTGCTGCCAAACTTTCTGTTGTTGCAAAACGAAACCACCAACTGGCGAGCATCATTTTTGGTTTCGGTTAGATGCTGGGTTAGATCGGACTTCCGGTGTGACATAAAGGTGACGCTCGTCCGAAAGCTGGCTGCGGGAATATCGCGTTTAATGCGTGCCACAACCCGTGCACGCGCATTGGGTCCACAGCGCGCGTGTGAACGGGACTCGCGAGCGAAAATATACATGGCAGCGCGCGTGTGAACGGGACTCGCGAGCAGAAATATACATGGCGAGAGGTCATTTGTGCACTGAGAGGGAGCAAACTGTGTCTGTGAGCGCACAAGGATGTGCACAAGTGACAAACCTGCGTGCGCGCGTTGTCAACGAGCACACGGCAGAGGAAAACGTGCGCGCGCGGCAGCCTCTGTGCGCGCTCGGCAGCCTCTCTGCGCGCTCGGTTTCTGACTCCTGCTCGCTCGGCTGTAAGGGTTTTGGCACTCTGGAGGCGTGGCCTGTGGCAGATCTTCTCTGTCCTCTGATTGGTTAGTGTACCCCGCACTTTACCCTCTACCTATCTATACAAAAAAGTCTGCTATTCAAGCAGTTGCTGGCTTAGCTCAGTTGGGAGAGCGGGTGACTCTCGCCCCGGAGGATCCGGGTTCGAGGCCGGGCAAGGAAAATGCATTAGATGTCATGTTAATTTTTCTTAATTTCAGGTATTTTACAGTTATGACCGTTCAACTGTCATTAAACGTCCGAATGTTTGCTGGGCAGTGTTTTAAAAAGTGCACATAAGCTAGATGGTTTTAACCATATAAAATTACATTTTTTGTGATACTGGAAAAATACATACTGAAATAAAACTACTGATTGAAAACTTTATGACTGTGGTTGTACAATATATGACTCACTAATACACTGCAAACTCCCTTAGAGTGGGGCTTCCAGAGAGAGAGAGAGAGAGAGAGAGAGAGAGAGAGAGAGAGAGAGAGAGAGAGAGAGAGAGAGAGAGAGAGAGAGAGAGAGAGAGACAGAGAGAGAGAGAGAGAGACAGAGAGAGAAAAGTTCTTGCCTCATTAATGAATTGTTTATTTTTTTCAGTATTTAATTGACAAATTATCCTTTCAAATAATTAATTGATGAGTTACATAATTGTCCATTTAGAATTGTTGAATGGACTGAGTCAAGTTTGGTGCACTTTATATATTTCAAAACATGTTTTTTTTTTATTTTAATGATGCATATAAATAATTTAAATGTTAATTTAATGAAATATTTCTATTTTTTCATTACCTCACCCTTGTTTTGACAAAAACGGGACCTTGCTGGATAATATCATGGAGAAACTATTTGTTCACAGTACATGGCTCCGTAAGGATCTGTGTACCAAAGGAGGAGATACTCAGAAATCTGTCTGCAGATTGTTACAACCCAGACTGGAAGTGGCGGGCTGTAATAAGAAAGGAGACCAAACAGAGGAGTGGGGGTTCAACAACTGATTTATTTAACAAAAGTAAGGATTTACTAAAGCAAGTTAGTGAACAGAAAATGGCCATCTCAAGGTTTTACTCGGATGTCCCTCAGCAGGGTGCAGCACTGTTGAAGGTCATCTGAATGAAAGCTTGATATGCAGTTTCTTTATGAAAGTGTGTAAATATACAGTGTGGTTGCCGTACATATGTTGAGGTTCTCAGACATCAGGCTTCTTTGCCCAGGCCTAGTGGGCTATTTTAAAAGTTGGTAAGGAGAAAAACCACAGCATATAGCTGATTGTTTACAAATGCAAGGAGGGGAATAACAATCAAAATGCTTGTGTTCTTGGACCAGATGAATGGAGCGCTCCACATGCACTCAGAGATGTTATGGCTTCTGTTTCTATAACTTTACATGCAGACATTTGAGGTTTGCCAGAAAGGAAAGCTGGCCTGTACACTTTGCAGGGCACAATGTCATCAATGAAGAAACCCCTGTCTACCAAGATGACCATCTCTAGTTGTAGCATTTTCAACACACCAGATTCCCAGGTTGGTCGCTGATAGTTCCAGCATACAGTGCTGAGACAAAGGTCACTGGCCTATGTGGCACAATCCAAATCAGCCTCTTCAGAGTGCAGTTGAACTTGAGGAAAATATATGACTCTGGAAGAGAGGGGAATATGGCCATTGACACCTCAGATCAGTGCAGTCAAGAATTACTGGTGTTTGGGTAGTCCTGAACGTGTTGTGATGCCCCCACCATCTCATTGGGTTTTCATTTGTGTTTAATTGTGTTTTTCTTCTGTTGTAGGCAGCTGGTTAAGCAACCTTGGAGGCACCTGGGCTCAGGGTGTGGTGCTGCCTACAAAGCCTACTGTTTTTCTGCTTTCACTGGGTCTCTCCTGTGTGGTGGAGAGTCCTCACTGGCCATTTTCTGTTCACTAACTTGCTTTAGTAAATCCTTACTTTTGTTAAATAAATCAGTTGTTGAACCCCCACTCCTCTGTTTGGTCTCCTTTCTTATTACAGCCCACCACTTCCAGTCTGGGTTGTAACAATCTGCAGACAGATTTCTGAGTATCTCCTCCTTCGGTACACAGATCCTCACTGAGCCATGTACTGTGAACAAATAGTTTCTCCATGATATTATCCAGCAAGGTCCCGTTTTTGTCAAAACAAGGGTGAGGTAATGAAAAAATAGAAATATTTCATTAAATTAACATTTAAATTATTTATATGCATCATTAAAATAAAAAAAAACATGTTTTGAAATATATAAAGTGCACCAAACTTGACTCAGTCCATTCAACAATTCTAAATGGACAATTATGTAACTCATCAATTAATTATTTGAAAGGATAATTTGTCAATTAAATACTGAAAAAAATAAACAATTCATTAATGAGGCAAGAACTTTTCTCTCTCTGTCTCTCTCTCTCTCTCTCTGTCTCTCTCTCTCTCTCTCTCTCTCTCTCTCTCTCTCTCTCTCTCTCTCTCTCTCTCTCTCTCTCTCTCTCTCTCTCTCTCTCTGGAAGCCCCACTCTAAGGGAGTTTGCAGTGTATTAGTGAGTCATATATTGTACAACCACAGTCATAAAGTTTTCAATCAGTAGTTTTATTTCAGTATGTATTTTTCCAGTATCACAAAAAATGTAATTTTATATGGTTAAAACCATCTAGCTTATGTGCACTTTTTAAAACACTGCCCAGCAAACATTCGGACGTTTAATGACAGTTGAACGGTCATAACTGTAAAATACCTGAAATTAAGAAAAATTAACATGACATCTAATGCATTTTCCTTGCCCGGCCTCGAACCCGGATCCTCCGGGGCGAGAGTCACCCGCTCTCCCAACTGAGCTAAGCCAGCAACTGCTTGAATAGCAGACTTTTTTGTATAGATAGGTAGAGGGTAAAGTGCGGGGTACACTAACCAATCAGAGGACAGAGAAGATCTGCCACAGGCCACGCCTCCAGAGTGCCAAAACCCTTACAGCCGAGCGAGCAGGAGTCAGAAACCGAGCGCGCAGAGAGGCTGCCGAGCGCGCACAGAGGCTGCCGCGCGCGCACGTTTTCCTCTGCCGTGTGCTCGTTGACAACGCGCGCACGCAGGTTTGTCACTTGTGCACATCCTTGTGCGCTCACAGACACAGTTTGCTCCCTCTCAGTGCACAAATGACCTCTCGCCATGTATATTTCTGCTCGCGAGTCCCGTTCACACGCGCGCTGCCATGTATATTTTCGCTCGCGAGTCCCGTTCACACGCGCGCTGTGGACCCAATGCGCGTGCACGGGTTGTGGCACGCATTAAACGCGATACGGGAAGCGTGGCGGTTCGCTAGCGTGGCCAGCCAGACTCTGTTTAATTCTGCACAGAGGCTGTGTGTGAATCAAGAACTGTGTCAGTCTCTGTGCAGAATTAAACAGAGAGAGTGGCTCGCTGCGTTTGATGATCTGATTTCTGCTGCTGCTACTCAGGATTTTAAAACTTGAACTCATTGTCTAAATAATTTTAACACTGATATAATCACCATTGTTAAACGCAACAAGAATTTGGGAATTAAGGAGAATTTTCCCTTTTGAGTGCTTGTTTGTTTGTTTGTTTGGTTGGTTGGTTGGTTGGTTGTTTTTGTTAAAAAATACGTGTCTGCAGTCAAACGTTTTGGATGAATCTCTTCAAAATATGCTTCAACTTATGAATAAAAAATGCAACCATTTTCAACAATAAATATGTAGTTAGCTTTTAGTATGTGTTTGATTTTTAAGGAATCTACAGGAAGTGGTAGGAAGTTGGATCTTAAGCTTTATAAAGGCTACATATCCCTTATAGACAGGCTATATGGAAGCCCATTCCCGCCACTCAGATAAAAAAATTATTATCTCATAATTATGACTTATGACTTGAGATACTAAGTCATAATAATGAGATAGCTAAGTCATAATTATGAGATAATATTTTTTTTATCTGAGTGGCAGGAATGGGCTTCCATACAATTCAAATCAGACTGATTGCAAGTAATTAATTTTAAAGTTTAAGCAAACTGTAAGAAAGAAACTGATTATTTTTGTTGTATTTGGCTTTTATTTGACTTAGTTCAGTAGTTTATACATTCCTTGTGAAATATAAATACTCTGTTTTCTTGTTTGAAACAAAAACGTGTAAATTTTTTAAAGTCATTGTGTCTTTACTAGATGTACTTGGATATTTATTTGTCTTAAACTAATAGTTTTATAACTCACATGTTTGATTAGATATTAAAAAATTATGGATAAAAATTTGTAACCAAAGATGTTTATTTGATATTACCTTTTAATCCATCCATCCATTTTCATCCGCTTATCCGGAGTCGGGTCGCGGGGGCAGTAGCCTAAGGCGAGATGCCCAGACTTCCCTCTCCCCAGCCACTTGGGCCAGCTCCTCCAGGGGAATCCCAAGGTGTTCCCTGACCAGGTGAGAGACATAGTCCCTCCACCGTGTCCTGGGTCTACCTTTAGGTCTCCTCCTGGTTGGACGTGCCCGAAAAACCTCACCAGGGAGGCGTACAGGAGGCATCCTGACCAGATGCCTGAGCCACCTCAACGGGCTCCTCTCGATGTGGAGGAGCAGCGGGTCTACTCCGATCCCCTCCCGAATGACCGAGCTTCTCACCCTATCTCTAAGGGAGAGCCCAGACACCCTCCGGAGAAAACTCATTTCGGCCGCTTGTATCCGCGATCTCATTATTTTGGTCACTAGCCAAAGCTCATGACCATAGGTGAGGATTGGGATGTAGATGGACCGGTAAATCGAGAGCCTGGCTTTCTGACTCAGCTCTCTCTTCACCACGACAGATTGGTACAACGCCCGCATCACTGCAGATGCAGCACCAATCCGCCTATCGATCTCACGCACCAGTTTTCCCACACTCGTGAACAAGACCCCGAGATACTTAAACTCCTCCACTTGGGGCAGGACCTCATCCCTGACCCGGAGAAGGCAATCCACCCTTTTCCGAATCAAGACCATGGTCTCAGATTTTGAGGAGCTGATTCTCATCCTAGCTGCTTCACACTCGGCTTTGAAACGCTCCAGCGAAAGCTGAAGATCACGTTCTGATGAAGCCAACAGGACGACATCATCTGCAAAAAGCAGAGACCTGATCCTCAGGCCACCAAAACGGATGCCCTCCACACCTTGGCTGCGTCTAGAAATCCTGTCCATAAAGGTTATGATCAGAATCGGTGATAAAGGGCAGCCTTGGCGGAGTCCAACTCTCACTGGGAACGAGCCCGACTTACTGCCGGCAATGCGGACCAAGCTCTGACACCGGTCATACAGGGAGCTAACAGCCCGTATCAGAGGGCCTGGCACCCCATACTTCCGGAGTACCCCCACAGGGCCCCCCGAGGGACGCGGTCAAACGCATTTTCCAAATCCACAAAACAGATGTAGACTGGTTGGGCAAATTCCCACGCACCCTCCAGGATCCCCCTAAGTGTATAGAGCTGGTCCAGTGTTCCACGGCCAGGACGAAAACCACATTGCTCCTCCTGAATCTGAGGTTCAACAATCCTACGGACCCTCCTCTCCAGAACCCCTGAATAGACCTTACCAGGAAGGCTCAGGAGTGAGATCCCCCTGTAGTTGGAACACATCCTCCAGTCCCCCTTTTTAAATAAGTGGACCACCACCCCGGTCTGCCAGTCCAGTGGGACTCCCCCCGATGTCCACGCAATATTGCAGAGCCGCGTCAGCCAACACAGCCCCACAACATCCAGAGCCTTAAGGAACTCCGGGCGGATCTCATCCACCCTTTGAGTCTTGCCACAGAGGTCTCCATAAAGGGTGGGTAGTCTGAACTGTAGTTTGGTGCACAAGCACAGACCACAGTCAGAACCCATCCCACCACACGTAGGCGGAGGGGGGCTACCCTCTCATTCGCTGGGGTAAACCCCAACGTACAGGCACCAAGATGGGGGGCAACTAGTATGACCACCCCTGCTCTGCCCCTCTCAGTGGGAGCAACTCCAGAGTGGTAGAAAGTCCAAACCCTCCCAAGGAAACTGGTTCCAGAGCCAGAGGCATGCGTTGAGGTCAGTTCAACTATATCTAGTCGGAACCTCTCAACCTCACACACCAACTCAGACTCCTTCCCCACCAGAGAGGTGACATTCCATGTGCCAAGAGCCAGCTTCTGTAGCCGAGGATCAGACCGCCAAGGTCCCCGCCCTCGACTACCACCCGTCACACACTGCACCCGTCCCCTTTGGCCCCTCCCACGAGTAGTTAGCCCATGGGAAGGGGGACCTACGCTTTCTCTTCGGGCTGTACCCGGCCGGGCTCCAAGGGTGAAAGCCCGGCCACCAGGCGCTCGCCAACGTGACCCACCTCCAGGCCTGGCTCCAGAGGGGGGCCCTGGTGACCCACGTCCGAGCGAGGGAACACGGTTTCCATTTATATAATTCATCATAAGAGGTCTTCGGGCTGCTCTTTTCTGATCCCTCACCTAGGACCTGTTTGCCATGGGTGACCCTACCAGAGGCAGAAAGCCTCAGACAACTTAGCTCCTAGGATCATTGAGACACTCAAACCCCTCCACCACGGTAAGATGGCAGCCCAGGGAGAGGCGTACCTTTTAATGTATTAAGAAAAAAAAACTACGTCCACAATAGATGTAGTTTCACCCGGTGGCCGTGTGATCTGATTGTACCGTAGCGAACAGTTCCTGCTTCAGCTCGTTGATTTAATCTTATTTAAAACAGGTAACAAAAATATTGAGCTTTAGTGAAGTAAGGCGTTGCACCAATCTGTCGTGTTAAAGACAGAGCTCGGGAGGGGCTCGGAGTAGACCCGCTGCTTCTCCTCATCAAGAGGGGGCCAGCTGAGGTGGCTCGGCATCTCAGGATGCCTTCTTGGTGAGGTTTTCCGGGCACGTCCAACTGGGAGGAGACCTAAAGGAATACCCAAGACATGTGGGAAGGACTGTGCTTCTTGGATGGCAGGGAATGGGATTCCCCAGAGGAGTTAATTCAAGTGGTTGGAAACTGGGGAGAGAGAAGTCTGGGCCTCTCAGGTTAGTCCGCTGCCCCATGACCCGACCCTGGATTTTAGTAGTTAAGTAGTTTGTATGTATGTATGTAGGTGTGTTTTATTTTGAAGGAATCCACAGGCAGTGCAAGCAAATTGAGTCTTGTTCAGTTTTATAAGGGTTGTAGTAACAGCTTTTGACCGCCAGAGGGCAAAAAAATCCTTCTGCTCTAAAGCCAGACATTGCTATGGAAGCCCATTCCCGCCACTCAGATTAAAAAAAAATTATTATCTCATAATTATGACTTAGCTATCTCATAATAATGAGATACTATCTCATAACTATGAGATAGTATCTCATAATAATGAGACAGCTATGTCATAATTATGAGAAACTAAGTCATAATAATGAGATCCTATCTCAAAATAATGAGATAATCAAGTCATAATAATGAGATGTTATCTCATAATAATGAGATAGCTAAGTCATAATTATGAGATAGCTAAGTCATAATAATGAGATAGTATCTCATTATTATGAGATAGTTAAGTCAAAATAATGAGATAGTATCTCATAATTATGAGATACTAAGTCATAATAATGACATAGTATCTCATTATTATTAGATAGCTAAGTCATAATTATGAGATAATAATTTTTTTTTATTTTATCTGAGTGGCGGGAATGGGCTTCCATACATTTCAGACATAAAAGACCTGCGTGCTCCAGCCTTCTTCGTCCACCTCATAGTTGCTGGTCCTGTAGCTGTTGAGCACCAGCAGTCAGTTGGGTGAAGCACAGTGTGCCTATTCTTCATTAAAGGAATATTGAAATGAAGAGTGGCCCAATCCCAATACCCTTATGTCCTTCAATTGCAAGTTCCAGTCCAGGGGTGCGAGTGTGTAGGGTGTCCTGATCCCCGAGTGCGGACGTTGTTCACTCGCTTTTGCTTCCTTTGTCGATGCCGACTTGGGTGAAGTACAACCCACAATCCATTGCTGAGTGGGAATGTTGAGAAGAAGGTGGGGCAACAGCTCAAGTTCCTTTTCTGAAAAAATGTATTTTAAAATAAAATAAGTTCATTTTTAAACGATTCATGATATTTATTTATTTTATTTATTGGACAGCAGGAGCATTTATTCATGCTCTGAACATTTTAGACTAAGATTTAATGTGAACAGCAATGAATGTAAATTTTATCAGTTGTTTGTTTGGAACTAAAAGATTCTTTTTTTTATTTTATTTGTTTGTTTTTTTTTTTTTTGCACAAACAGCGACTAGCATCCCGGTCACTGTTTCAACTCAGCAGTTATTTGCACACTCGTGTGCTACGCCTTATTGCGCACTTCCTCCAAGTGCACTTTGCTGAAGACCCAGGGTACAGTGCGAGGGCTGGGATTGGGCCAGCCAGAGGTTGAGCTCCAATCAGGTTTCCTTTTTACAAAATATGCATTTAAACCAGCAGGTGGCAGCAGAGAGCCGCCATTAAAACTGGAAATAAAGTTTAGCTCAATCCCCTACCAGATTAAAAGAATAAATAAATTGTTTTTCTGCTGTATTTTTGTTGGAAAGGTAATCATCGTTATGACACAAGTCTGTTAAATCATCACAAAGTGTTTTTATTTACTAAATGGAAAGAAACACATTTTTTTAAAATGTTGATGGAAATGGGCACAACAGTTTAGCTTTTTTTTTTTCTAAGTCACCATCATGGCAACCTGTTTATTGTTTAAAATGAAACTATCTGCTCTGATTGGCTGATTTGTTCACCGCCCAGACCAGTTACTTTTTTAGACTTTAAACTGGGACAAATAAATAATAGCTTTAAATATTCAAACATGCCAAAGCTCAGAATAGACATTTTCATTGTTTCCAGCTAATAATAAACTTTTAAAAAAAGGTCAGTGAGAATTGTTTTGTCGATGGTTGCCGGGGTGTGTTAAAACTCCTAAACATCACAGAGCTTTAAATATTCCGTTGCTCCTTTGTGTTAATTCTCATTTTTATGAGAATAAGAAACAAAGAAAAGAAGAAACCACCATATTTTGTTTCTGACTCCAAAACACCAGGAGCCGTGTTATAAAGGAAAAACATGCACATCTGTTGGAGGAGGTGCAGATAGAGCAGCTGGATGTGGAAACACTTCCTCTTTCAGTCCATCTGTTCAGACCTTAAATCAGCAGAAGATGCCACTTTGCAACAGGCTGTCGGACAGAGCGCAGCATCAGAGTCCAGTGTTCATCCTCGGAGCTCCTCTCCTTCCCCACGCTCAACCGTCCCGCCAGATGTTTGTTGGATTTCCCGCTCGTCTGCATGTCAAACACAGAAACCAAGACTTTACACCTGTCCAGAGGAAGCTCCGGCAGCGAGAACACGAGGACCTGGGCTGCAGGGGACGGCAGAGGTCTTCTGGTACCTCAGCTTGTTCTGATTGCACTGAACACTGATCCTGGCGTACAGGGCTGGGAAACACAGACGTGTTCATGTTTCTGCACGTTCCACCCGACTGGCTTTGTTTCTGGATTACCTGTTTCTGAGGAGGTCTCAGTGAGAGCCATCCTGACCTTCAGCAGACCCACTTCCAGCCTCTGAGAGGTAGGGAGGAGCCTCAACGACAGCAGCACCTCTCCAACAAGATCCTGCAGAGTGAAATATCACATGCTTTCACCCGTCCTAGAAACGAACCTCCTAACTCGGCAAGAAATTCCTGTCGGTGTTCAAAACCTTCTGAGGTGCTCGCAGGTCCTCCTGGAGCTCCAGAGGGTGGGTGATGCTGAGCTGCCCCAGAGGAACTCTCACCTCCCCCAACACGGTGTGTCTGGAGAATTTATCAAAGTCCCTCACCTGGGATGATGCAACAACTAGTGATTAATAGCAACACACAACGATAAATTCAACTTTCTTACAAAACTAACTCGTCTTTTCTTCATCTGGGCCTTGGAAGTCAGGAATTTATTCACCAAAGCAGAAATATCAGATCAATCACTGATTTTTGTAAAACTCGGGTCTGAAGCTAAAGAAAAAAACACATTCTCTTTCCTGGGAAAAGAATGATTGTTGTTGCGTGACTCATAAATGTCAAAGTGCCTGTTGCAGGTCATGACAGATTCACATCTGAACATTTGCTGCTGCTGGATGACATACAGACTCCATCAATAAAACCCCACTGTTCACAAAACCCCCAGAAAGCTCTCAGAGTCCCTGCTCTTTCAGCTATGTCTCTGCGACATGAGGTGTGAGTTATGTCTGTGTGGCTCAGGACCTCCATCCTAAGGTGGATGCGCGGGAGCTCGTCCACGTTTTTCTGCAGAATGTAGCCAAACTGGTCACCAAACACTGGGCTGCAGCTTCCTTTCACAATGCGAGAGCGCCACTCCTGCAGCACCGTCCACAGTCCAGGTGGCATCTCTTCACCCTGAGAGGACCACAGCATCAGTAAGCAGCAGGTGCACTCAGGTCACGTGAAAAATCAACAGTGGGGACAAGTGCAGAAAACTTGGAATGAAGTCAGAAGCAGTTTTAGGTGGAAAAGTATCCGTTGTGTTGGCAGCATCACCTTCAAGCCCTTCTGTTCTGCTGCAGCCAGCATGAGTCTGACGTTGACAAACGGTTGGAGGCTTGTGCTCCGGGCCGGGTCCAGAAGCCCCTCCGCCTGCAACAAGGTAACCACCAACCGAGACTGCAGCTGGTCGTGGAAGATGGAGAAACGCAGGGAGCCGCAAACCTAAGCAAAAGAGGGAAGGACTGGATCACCACCGGTGGCTGATCTCTATTAGTTTATTATAAAGGAAGGAAAATAAATAAAATGTGTTCTTTAAAACCCTAAAAGGTGTTTTTACTTTTCTCAGCTAAGAGGTGTCAGTAGCTCAGTCAGCACACGTCGTTTTGGAGAAATAAAACATTCCAAGAACATCATCCAGATGTGTTTATACAGTCCCACTCCAAAACTGTATTTCATAACCAATAAATCAAAACTTCTTCACTAAAAATACATTTTAATGAGCTGCTCGGTTGTTAATTTTAAGGTAAATTAAATTAGGATGCAACCACTCTGCAGGAGTCCTTTTCAGCATGTGTACCCTTCCTGTGGTCTGGTCCTCCCTCGTGTCCTGGTCCGTTTGGAGAAGTTCTGGAGGAAACGAGGCCAGGGACAAACATCGACTCAGTCTGTCAGCTTTAGTTCTCACGTCTTCCAGCTGCAGAAAACACAGCCCTTTTATTTCATAGTCTGGGTTGGATGGATCAGTATGGAAGACAAGTGACTGTAAAAACGCCAGTGGAGCACATTTTAGTCAACAGCTTCAGCAAATATTTCTAACAAACAACCCAAACAAAGTCTTGTTATCTGTATCTGACGCCAAGGCAGCCTTGAGATGCCAACAACAACAACCCACCACGAAGGAAGGAATGCAGACAGATGCTGTGAACCCAACACCGCCCCCGCGTTCCTCCCAAAATCTCCCTCCCACCTGTGGACTACAGTGGTTGAGCGCCGTACATGGCTGCTCTCGCTGGGGGGAAGCAGGATCCCAGCCCCCCCTGCCTTCCTATTGTGATGTTGTGTTATCTGTTGAGGTGTTTTTTTCGCAGAGCAGCTGTGAAGTGCCTTTTTTTCCCCTCCTCTCGAATCCATTCCTCATGTTGTCCTTTTCTCTCTCTATTAAGGTAGCGCGACTCGGTTGTGAATGACCACAGTCACCAATTCTTGTCATGTGTCTTGCCCATGTATGTCTGATCTCTGAATTGTGTGTACTGAAACTCTAATTGCCCTTCCCTGGGACAAATAAAGCTTTTCATTCATTCATTCATTCATTCATTCATTAACGTTGTTATGATCATGTGACGCACACAGAAAGATGTGGTCACATTTTTTGTATTGATGCTTTAACCATCTGATGTAATGTATTCCTGTGTGAAAATATATACCATATGTTTAATGGATTCCAGGCTAAAAGGAAAAGAAAAAAAACTTAAATAGAGTCTCTAAGGACATGGTTATTATTGGTCTTTGTAAACTGTTCTGTAAAGGTAATGCACCTTAATGCCAGTAGAGGGCAGTATGATACTGGGCAGCTGACCGGGACCGTTTGGCGCGGCCGTTAGCTTTTCCCGTACTGATGTCCTGTCTGCTCATTTAACTGTTTTTAACAGGTTAGTGTCCTCATATAAGAGCGATAAACAGGTGAAAATGGGAGAAAACCGTGTCAAGATGTGATTGTCAAGCACCTGTTAATCGGTTTGGGAGGAAGTTTTGTTTTTAATGTGTGGTTTAAATGTGCTGTACGCCCGGCGCCCCCCGATGGCGAAGTTGTTATGGCGGCACAATAACGGCTTCATGTTTAGTTGGATTTTATCCTGTGTGCTCCATGTAAAAAGAATGGCATTGCTGAGAAAGAAGTGTTATTTTGTTCATGTAGGTGAAATAGTGAAAATAAGCAAGGTAGTTGATGAGAAAGAGTTATTTAAACTGGTTTGCATTTATATTATTTTAAAGCTCATGTGGAGTAGAAATATTAAGTTTGTTCCATGAGTGTCTTATTATATTATGAACATGTAGTGATGAACCAGTATTGCAAGAAAATGTCAAATGCAGTAAAATAAGTGTCTGACTATTCAGAATTTGTCAAAAGGGAACTGGTTAAACAAGGTGAATGGTAGAAAATGTGCTGCTTGACATGGTTGAAAGTGTTAATAAAATTCTTCAATGAGGAGCTGACGCAACAACACCGTACTGATGTCCTGTCTGCTCATTTAACTGTTTTTAACAGAATCACCTGTTGCATGGTCACATACCTGGGACCTGTAACAATCACTTTCACAACTCGGAAGTCTGAATGAATCAAAGATGCAAAATAAAAATGTGTTCTTTGTTTTGTTGTGTGTGGAAGTTAAAGCGTCAAAAAATAGAATAAAAAAATGTAAAACCCAACATAAATCCAACAAAGCCTAGGTCTGCGGAGCCTTTCTGAACACATCAGTCAGGAGTTTTTGGCCTAAACAACATCACATGACATTCTATCATATTTAACTTGACATCATCGCAGATGCCTCACCCATCAGGTTTCTTTACCCGTCTCCTCTTCCAGATAAACAGCTGCTGAAACTACGGTTAAAACACACTTAAAACCTCCACTTTGTATCACTGGTTTGAATTATAATAAGTTTTGCTTCAATTTCAGGAAAAAAATTTGCACAATTCCTAATGCAAATCCTAATAATAATATGAATACGTGATCATAAAAACAATGACACATTTATAATAATAACACAAATAATTATTGGTTTTTATTTATTTTTCTGTTTTTGGACATTAAAGAGTAAATAAATTCATGTTTTGTTCCATTTGGACCCGGTTTGGCCCTACCTTGGTACCGGGCGCTGCTGAGTAGTTTCCTGCTGTGGAAGTCTTCTCGTCTGAGTGCAACAGCTCGCTGCTCACTGCAGAAAAAAGGCACAAGATTAGCCTGAATTGTTGTTTTAGCTGTGACTAATCATCAGGCGTGGAGCTCCAGATCTTCTCACCTGTGTCCTGGTGGGGGTTCAGTGTGTGTGTCTGTGAGAAGCATCTGAAGATCTGCCAGGCCAAGATGCTCAGCGCCACCAGGAGGAGGAGGACAGAAATTCCCAGAATGCAATACTTCACCGCATCTGAGAAGGGCATCGCCAGCTCCGTGGAGGTGGAAAGCAGCCCCGCAGGAGTCGGGAATTCCACGGCAGCCATCCTGACTCTCCACCTCCCAGAGATCTCACCGTCATCTGGATTATCAGCAGAAAAAACACCTTTGGTCAAGTGTGTTCCTGCTGCATTCACTGTCCCTCTCAGGGGTTTTACCTGATTTATTTCGTTTATTTATCTCAGTTGAGATAAATGCAGGCAGAAAAATACCAGGACGTTGTTTAATGTTAAGAGCACTTCTCTTCTGGTGTTTAACCTGAACAAGTTCAACATCATAACACGTGACAATTTATGTCAACAGTCTACAGGAAATAAAGAAAATGCAAGGTTTTGAAAATAAAACTAGTCTTTTTCTTACATGTTCCTGATTTTCTGATTGTTACATTTCTAATTTGACAAAAGTTTATTATTACAATATTTACTTGTGATTTCAGAAAAGTGTTTCCACCTGTTAAAAAATGTATAAAATCTCCTTAACCTGTAGCTCAAAGAGCTTTACTCTGACCATCTCACCAAAAGCTCAGATGTTACTCTGACATAAAACAAAAGCAGACATTATTATCTTCTGTCTGTTCTGCTTTAGTCAAATAACACACGACTGACTCACTCACTATGGAAATTAGAGTGAATGTTGAAGAATCTACACAGCATCACATTTTCCTCCTAAAACTCGTCCTGGTGCATTTTGGAGCATTTCTGTAAAAGAGGGTTGTCTCGATTCTTTACGGTTATAAGAATATAAAGCACATAAATGCATTCACCTGAAAATTGTGAGGAAGCCTCAGCTCTTGAATGTTTTCTTCATGATTGCAGCTCCTTCCTGCTCAATAAATCCTCTTTGAGCTCTTCGATTGTCACAGAAACAGCAGCACTTCTCGGCAGGTGAAATTCAAACCAGCATCGTATCATTTAACTGTTACTCCTGCTTTGCAAACTCCAGACACACTCCCCTTTTTTTCCTTTCTATATCTTCACATATTTGAGCGCCTGACTTCCTGAAAGCCACTCTGAACAAACGGGTTTGATAAGATTCAGACACATTTCAGGAAGCTTCATTTCCTCCTAGACACCTCTGCCTAAGTAGCAAACACTCAGATGAGATCAATTAATTTAAAAAATGACGCCAGTGTGTAGATTTTACACAACATGTCAAATATTTTTGCATCATCTGGTGAAACTGAGTGGCTGCGTGACATAAACATTTCATGTAAACATTTGTTTTTGATCATCATTTTAATGCAAAACAAATTCTATTAATTATGGTATCTTGTAAAAAAAAGTTTAAAGAGGCTAGTAGAACAGTCAAATAGTTAGAGCAAGCCTTCAAACGTTATGAAAGTTAGGTCAGTGATTACTGAGAAACAGATTTTACTTTTGTTGTTTTTTAATTACAGCTCACTGAAAGGAAATACACATAAAAGGTAATGTTTTAATAATAGGACCTAAGCCCTAAGATGACAGATAAAGTCATTAGATGCTCATTTGCAAGAAGAGGACAATTATTAATTTTCTTACATGGCGATGCTTGATTGGAGTCTTAAAAATTAAGACTTGATGAACAGGCTACTTCCTGTTTAGGGTTTTGTTGACAGAGGCACTAATGCTTCGTGGCTTCGTTTCATCTCTATGTCAAGGCCGGATTACAATACGGGCAAACTGGGCACAGGCCCAGGGGCCCACATCCACAAGGGGCCCGCGCGAGCAGCAGTCTTTTTTTTTTCTTTTCTTTTTTTGTGCAGCAGTCTTAGCATATTGTGCCCAGGGGCCACTGCAATGATAATCCGACCCTGCTCTATGTATTCTTTGGATCACAACTATTTTCTGCTGTTTTCTGCCAATGTGATTAGATTTAGTTTGTTTTATTTTATGAAATGTTAAAACGCGTTTTGCAATAATAAAGTAGTGCAGGAAAACCACATAACCCGGTTGTGTTTCTCCTTTTTCCCCTCTAGTCCAGTAGGTGGCAATGTTGCGCTTTTAAACCAAAAAAATTAGAAAACAAGAGGCTGTGGGCGGGGCTTAAGCAGAAGAAAGCGTAGCTAACTGTTAGCTGCTAGCTCGCCGACGCTGCAGGTTTCTCTGTCCTTAGCAGATCAACATGGTCCAACTGGTGGGATCCCTTCGAAAAGAGTTGGCCGACTCCCTGTCCACCTGCAAGGTTCTGGTAGTTGGAGCAGGTGGAATCGGCTGCGAGCTGCTGAAGAACCTGGTGCTAACCGGCTTTAAGAACATCGAAGTGGTCCGTTACGTTTATATTTGTGTTAGCGTCAGAGAGCCGGCTAGAATGCTAGCTAGGTCTTTGTGTGGCCTTGGACTAATCGCTTAGACGTGGCCTTCAGAGATATTAAAAATGATGATGGTGGTGGTGTCTGTATTGCTAAGTGCTTCGTCCCACAGAGTAGATTTTATTACTAAAATGTTTAACCTTTCAATTTTAAACAGCAATATTTGGCGCCATTATCACTGCTAAGTTAGCTAGTTTGTGTGCAGCTCATTGACCGGTGGGATGGGTTTGATTCCATCAGACGAAGCGTGTGTCCATGACACCTGGACCGTAGTTTCTCTGTTTTCAGCCTACTGGGTCATTGAAATGAGCAAATATATTACTGGCTACAATAAACGTTACACCACAGTCTGAGAATGAGGTTTAAATAAATAAACAACTGCCTTTATCAGCAGGAGAGCAATGGTTTGGAGAGGATTAAATATGATTATCATTTATTGCCGTTCTAGAGATTACAGTCAAATTCCCAAAACTCATGAATTACAGAAAATTGTTTTAGAACTTCAATCCGCATGTTCCTGATTACTTCAGGTTCGTGGGTTTAGTAGCAAAGAGCTTTGTCACAGAACAAAACAGTCCTACAAAAAATGAAGAGTAAACAAATGGATAGTTATTTAAAACTTAAACACATTATGACAAGATAAAGTGTTTAGATTTTTGAAAAAAGAATCAATGCAACATTAAAGCAGAGAGTTGAGGTGCGGCAGTTTAAAAGGAGGAAACCCCCAGAGATTCGAGGGTAAAATAGGTGTGAACAGCCTCTGGTGAGGTGACCTCTGGAGGGTCTGCTTTAAAGCCTTTAAATTACTCTGAAATCACAAAGACTTAAAAAAGCATTTCAAATTTAAAAAGTACCGACAAAAACTGATTATTAATTTATGCTATTATTTGAATTCTAATTAAGAGCCCTGCTGTTGGGGCTGGGGATTTAAGTCTTCACCTCGCAGCTAAGTCTACCTGTCTGAATACACCAGTTTAGCAGCAGAGAATAATCAGGTTTTGGTTTAGTTGACCGCAGTGCCACACGGTTTTAGTCTTTAGAATTGTATGCTTTGCTAATGGTATGCCAAATAATTTACTGAATTATACATGATCATGAAGATGTCCCATTCCGATGTTGATATCAGCCCAAAAAAACTATCGGATTATATCGACTTCATCAAAATTCTCTGATATTAGCAATACGTTCCGTTTTAAATTCCATTCCAGCAATTCTATCCATCAGCGCCCAGCTCCAGCATGCACATTCCACATAATCAGAACAGTGTGTGCTAGCAAAGTAGCTAGGAACAATGTCGGCCATGTGGTTGTATTTTTCGATAAAGTCCGAAAAAGACAGTTTGGCTGAGTGCAACACTTGTCATGCACAAGTTTCCCGTGGTGGAACAGAACCGAGGAAGATTGATACGTCCAACCTCATGGTGCGTTTGAAGCAGGATCACAAAACACTGCAGAAGGATTTTCTCTGCGTCTTAAATTAAAAGTTTAGACACAACTTGTAGTGTGAGTCGTGGCGGATGGCTGCTTATACTGATCCAGGGTCCTCTGGAGGTTTCTTCCTGTTAAAAGGGAGTTTTCCTCTCCACTGTCGCTGCATGCTTGCTTAGTATGAAGATTGCTGTGAAGTCGATGCAATTTGCTGGGTTCCTTATATAGGAAACTTTTTTTCTGATTGGCTTAACGAACTGACCTGTACTGGAATGTTTATTATGTGAAGTGCCTTGAGACGACGCTTGTCGTGATTTGGCGCTATATAACTAAACTTGAATTGAATAGCAGTTGGTCAATGAACAATATTGTGTTGTTTTCCTTATGTCCCTGACCTCAGCTGTTCACATTTATGCAACCAAAGGTTAATAAAAAATTGGTCAGTTTTTTATACTTCAGGGTATCCGCGGGTCCTTAAAAAGTCTTAAATTTGCTTTTCCAAATTTAAGGCCTTAAAAATCCGTAAAAATGACAAATAATCCTTAAATACAGTTTCCAAAGGTCTTAAATTACCAAAGACCCAATAAACAAGGTTATTTTGTTTCTATAAAATGTTCATGAATTTCTAGCGTTCCGCATTTTTTGTGTATGATGTTGGCGTAAGCGGAACCATACACATTCAGTTGGTTGTGAAAGGGGGCCTGTTTTAAGATAAGCACATTAGCTGGTTAAGCTAGTGGGAGATTGCGCCATGGGGACGTGCAACTTTTATGGTAACTGGATGGCTAATCCCACGTTCGCGACGTGGTTAGCACTGGTTCCAGGCAATTGCTGGACATTATAGTTTAAATTAAATTTTAAAAAATAGCTTAAATTTGGTCAAAGTGGCCTTAAAAACGGTCTTAAAAGTCTTAAATTTGGCTCCCTTAAACCTGCAGATACCCTGTACTTGCTGTTGCTGGTTTTTGTTTTCTGTTTCAGTAAAATCACCTGATCAAGCCTTTTTAAACATTCCACACTACAAAATAGGTAAAAGTACGTATGATTTGTGCTGATATATCAGATTGATATCAGTGTAGGTCAATGCTGAAGCAATATTGGTATCGTATTGGAAGTGAAAACGGTTGAATCGGGACGTCCCTAATGAAGATGTTTAAGCTTTAAAAGACAAGTTAAATAAGTTCTTGTTTGTTTCATTGACATGAATAAATGAAACTATCAAGTTAGGCAAACTGCAGCGATGATGACCTTTGGGCTGGAGAGGAAGTGTTGTTGCATTTCTCTAGTCACAACTACGACTGGAGTTGAGTTTTTGTGCTAGTGGCAGTTTATCAAAACCATAGAGAGTTTTCACTCAAACGGTCAATCTTATGTAACTTAAGTCACACAACTCGGATGGTTTCTTTGTTATTCTGCCTGAAACCTATCACGTTTTCTAATAACCAAAATATTGCAGCTTTGCACTGAATATTTGATCAAAATGAGTTTTGCAGATGAGCTCTGTTACAAATGTTTTATCTTATTTTTGATTTCTGCAGATCGACTTGGACACAATTGACGTGAGCAATTTGAACCGTCAATTCCTCTTTCAAAAGAAACATGTTGGCAAATCTAAAGCGCAGGTATGTATGCTCTGAAGTTTAGTTTAACCTCTTATTTTAAACGAATTCATGTTTTTTGGTTATAATGATTTCTAGGTGGCAAAAGAAAGTGCCCTGCAGTTCTGCCCCAGTGCAAGCATCACAGCTTACCACGACAGCATCACCAAGTGAGCTCATTAGCACGCCCTGTTGTGTAAAGCGGGAAACACACTTACCACAGTTGACTTTATTCTCCTCTCAACAGCCCTGATTATAATGTGGAGTTCTTCAGGAAGTTCATGCTTGTGATGAATGCTCTGGATAACAGAGGTATCCACAAATCACCAGACCATTTAGACTTTTCTGACACCGATCTGCCTTCAGATGATTTCAATAAAAGTTCTTCTTCCCAGCTGCTCGTAACCATGTAAACAGGATGTGCTTGGCAGCTGATATTCCTCTGATTGAGAGCGGCAGTGCTGGATACCTGGGACAAGTTACTGTCATCAAAAAGGTACCAGATGCATGTCTTTTTCTGTCAAAAATCTACTAAATTATTATTTATTAAATGTTTAAACATGTAGATTTGTATGTAATTTAATCTGACTACAGTAAATGTGTTGCTAGACTTTTACTTTTAATACTTTATTGTATCCTCCACCTTCAGGGGTTGACTGAATGCTACGAGTGTCAACCAAAGCCCGCCCAGAAGACCTTCCCAGGATGCACCATCAGGAACACGCCCTCTGAGCCCATTCACTGCATCGTTTGGGCCAAGTATCTCTTCAAGTGAGCCTTCTGTTTCGTCGTGTTTTTTATCATAACTGCAGCAAATGCCGCGCAGTTTCCTGTCATCAGTTTCACGATGAATTTTGTGCTCTTAGTCAACTGTTTGGAGAGGAGGACGCTGATCAAGAAGTGTCCCCGGACACCGCAGACCCAGAGGCTGCATGTGAGTTAGAGCTCAGAGCTTTAGCAATTTATACAATCAGCTTTGACTTCACACAACAACAAAAAACAAAGAAGGAAATAAAGCATCTCCATCAGCCCTGTGCTGTGTGTTGTCTTTAAACAGGGAATCCTGAAGACACGGCGGCTCGTGCTGCAGTTTCGGAAAAAGATGGAGACATCAAACGAGTTTCCACCAAAGTATGGGCCCGATCCACCGGATACGACCCAATCAAACTATTCAACAAGGTACCAAACACAAATCTGTTGTGTATCTTTCATCTGCTGCAAAACCAAAACATATTTGAAGTTTGTTCTATTTTAGATGAATAATCAAAGTTACAGGATGCGGCTTCTTATGTTCATGTTCTCAGTTTTAAATCATCTCAACTGCCAAAGGACATGAATCGTGAGCATAATGTAGTTTTTAAAGAGCAAGTCACCCCCTACCAGATTCTTACTCAACTCCCACTTCCTGTTTGAAAAATGAAACAAATGCTGTTGCCTAGCAGACAGAGAGGGCGGAGCCGCAAACAAATACACACACACACACACACAGGCTCACAACGACATTGTGACATCATATGGTACCTCTTAGCCAATAGCGATGGCAGATTTAAATTCAAATGCTGTGCAGTTTTACCTGACCTAACGGCACAACACAGTTTTAGGCAGAAAATTAAAATTTTAACTAAAGTGCAAGGCTATTGACTACACGTGTCTGCAGCACGATTAGGCACGCGTTTTATCCGAAAAAATAGTTGATTCGGGGGTGACTTGCTCTTTAAATGCTATTTCTGTATTCCCCAGAGTTAGATAACTTAGAAAAAAGGTTTTTGTTACCAGCGCAGTAATTCTCCTGGTCTGGCAGCCGTCTGTCTGCTTTATCTTAGCATAAACAATGGAAGTGAATAGCAGGAACTAGCATTTTGTGTGATAAACAATCAATGATGAACAATAGTCTGCTTCTAGGCCTGCAGAAAAGGGACACACAACAATACAACAGGAGCAAGCTATCACTTTGTCAACTTGATGAAGAATTGTAAAATCAACATTGTTTAACTGAACAATCATACGATAATAAATCGTAGTGCATTTAGTGCCAACCACAGCCTTAAGACGTGTTGAACGTGCCCAAGTCCATACTTATGACATGTGAGCACCTGTGTGCGTACACACACTTGTATATGTAAGGTTTCTCTATAGGAGCGTCCAATAGAGAGTGTGAGGGGCCACAGATCTGCCCCCCAAAGATGTGTAGGAGACGGAGGGAGCTCCAAGTCCCAGAGATCCAGGAGCTGCCCCAGAGCACAGGAACCCCAGGGAGACTGCGACCAGAACATGCTTTTTTCTTGCTTGTCTAACTCGGGGGGGGGGGGGGGGGGGGGGGGGGGGGGGAATACGGAAATAGACAAAATTTCACTTAAGGGTGCAATATATCTTCAAAATATTTAATTAGATTGTTGATGACAACAGGAAACATGATCAATTTTCTCTAAAGACTCTGAATTCATGTGTAATTTAACTGTTTTTGAGTAACTGTAATTTTAAAAACAGGCTGCTTTAACCTCATCTTTATGCTGCAGTTTACCACTTAAGAACAAAGCTTTTTATTTTTTACGTATTTGATTTAGTAGGTGCTGCTTTGTCGTGATTTCAGCACAGAGCTGCAATTACATGCTTGACTGTGATTGGCTCTCCTCAGCTTTTCAAAGATGACATCATGTACCTGCTGACCATGGACAAGCTGTGGAAGAAGAGAAAAGCCCCAACACCTCTGGACTGGCAGCAGCTGGAGGGCAACGGTGAGACTGTAGGAGTCCCAGAGCTTTGAAGCTTTTCCTGGTTGGATTAAAATTAAAAAAACAGTCAAATAAAAAAGATCATTTCAGTCTAGAATCAAAATTGTTTTCTCTCTGGTGTAAAAACAAAATAACTTTGAATTTATAGCCCGAAAAAATTAGTAAAATCTGTCTTCTTTACATTTTCCACCTAAAACTGCCTGAAGGGTTTAGCTTCAGTGACGCCCTTCTGATGAGTCCTGGTTAATTCAGCCGCTGATTGTTTTTGTGGGTTTGTTTGTGATTTTTTTATCCAGTTAGTCCCAATGAGGAGGCGCCGGCTTCAGGCCTGAAAGACCAGAAGGTTCTGGATGTTTGGGGTTACTGTCAGATGTTTCAGGACAGCGTGGAAACTCTCAGCTCACAGCTGCAGGAGAAGGGCGATGATGCTGAGCTTGTTTGGGACAAGGTAAAGAACTTTTTAGCTTTTTTATTTGTTCTATTTGTTTTTACCTGTTTTGTTTCATTAATTGTTTTTAATGTTTTGTTGTTTTATATATATATATATATATATATATATATATATATATATATGTGCGTGTGTGCGTGTGTGTGTGTGTGTGTGTGTACATATATATATACATGTATATACATATATATGTGTGTGTGTATATATATATTTGTATATATACATATATATATATATATATAAATGTGTGTGTATATATATATATATATATATATATATTTGTGTGTGTATATTTATATATGTGTGTGTGTTTATATGTTTATATATATGTATGTGTGTGTGTGTGTATATATATATATATATATATTTGTATATATATGTGTGTGTGTATATATGTATGTATATACATACATATATACACACACACATACATATACACATATGTATGTGTGTGTGTGTGTATATATATATATATATATGTATATGTATATTTATATATAATCATCGTTTTCTTATTATTTTAATAAATACTTGGTTTCCTGGACTTTCTACGTGCATCAGAGGGGCAGAGTTTAGTATTTTCTCTAGCTATAGTGATGAAGGCTCACTTTTAAAACGACTGATGGTGTGAAATAATTCCTGTCCTCCTCTCGTGATGTCAGGACGACCCTCCGGCCATGGACTTTGTCACTGCAGCAGCAAACCTACGGATGCACGTCTTCAGCATGAACATGAAGAGTCGCTTCGATGTAAAGTGTAGGTGTTTCCCAGCTTTCCTGCTTTTGGAATGAACTGTTAACATTTTATTGACATGAATCTGGAATGAGTGGTTTGAATCTAAATAAACTGTTCATCTTTCAGCGATGGCAGGAAACATCATCCCAGCTATCGCCACCACCAACGCTGTTATTGCAGGGCTGATTGTTCTGGAGGGGTTGAAGATCCTCTCTGGGGAGATGGAAACATGTCGCACGGTTCGTCCAGCAGCCTCCGTGTGTTCAGTGATGTTATGTTCTGACCCAGAATGGGAGGTTTTGTTTTTAACTCTGGGTGTTTTTAGATGCTGCTTCAGGTTCTAGATATGATTTCGTCCCGAAGTCTGGCCTAAACTGTTCTGGAAGTGTTGCAGGAGCACAAACCAGAAATGCAGCAAACGAGCTGAACAACATTAGCGTTGCGTCTCCTCCGATACATTGAACACGCTAATTACTGTGTTTGAGGCTTTTCTGCTGCCTTCAATCTGGCCCACTAATCCTGACGCCTCTAGATTATGTCTATTTTGTAGGCTCACATGTGTGTGAAATTATATAAAAAAGGGTTACCCCTGTAAAACGGATCATCAAGTTAAGTATACTTTCAGCTGGTCTACACACTTTGCCAGCACATTTCTGCAGAAAATGAAGCTGTCATGATCCTGGATGATGCTGAACTCAATCAGCGTCTAAACAGTTTAAGTAAATATTTGTTTGAATGATCATCAGACTTCTCTGATATCTGATTTTTTTAATTTTCTTTCTTCAGGTCTTTCTGAATAAGTGTCCCAACCTCAGAAAGAAGCTACTGGTTCCGTGCGTCCTGGACCCACCCAGCGCTAACTGCTACGTCTGCGTCAGCAAACCCGAAGTCACCGTCAAGCTTAACGTCCAGAAAACGACGGTTTTGTCTCTGCAGGACAGGGTAAAGATACTGCACCTGAGCATGGGTCACAGTTGGGTCGGGTTGGGCATGGACCATCGAGCATCGATTGGAACCGGTTCCAACTGTTCATTTTTCCCAGAATCTTTCAAAGTTTTTTATTTTGATTCCTAGTTTCGATTCCTAGAATGCCGACCGGAAGAGGGATCCGTGGCCGATCTCCGTGAAAAATAAACGCAATCTGCAAATTGTGATCGACGCTTTTCAGAGCCGATCACACCAGCTGTCTGTGTGCAGCACCAAGTCCCCCCTCCCTTCCCCCACCCGGCGCGCAGCGGCCAAATATAAACAAACGCGTCTGCCGAACTTTTACTCCGTAATGTAAACTTTAACTCCTGCAGCTTAGAGGAAACGTGTTAACTACGTCAACACGGTGGGTTTAATAGAAGCTTTAAAGAACAAACTCTGGACGGTGTGAGGTGAGTTTGTCTCACTGCAGAAATAAAAACACACGGAGCGTCAGCAGTCAGACGCAGCCGCTCACCAACACTCTGTGTGTGTGTGTGTGTGTGTGTGTGTGTGTGTGTGAGCTGAGCGTCAGAAGGCTGAAGAATAATTAAAGTCATCATGCTAGCTAACCCTAACCCTTCTCTGTGGTGGACCACACCAGCTTCTGCCACAATAGATATAATAATAAATAATATTTTACAGGGTATCCGTGGATCCTTAAAAAGTCTTAAATTTGCTTTTCCAAATTTAAGGCCTTAAAAATCCGTAAAAATGAAAAATAATCCTTAAATCCAGTTTCCAAAGGTCTTAAATTACCAAAGACCCAATAAACAAGATTTCATGAGTTTCTAGTTAGTGTTCAGGATTTTTTTTTTGTGTATGATACTGGCGTAAGCGGAACCGTACACATTCAGTTGGTTGTGAAAGGGGGCTATTTTTAGATGAGCACGTTAGCTGATTAAGCTAATGGGAGCTTGCGCCATGGGGAAGTTTAATGGTAACTGGATGGCTAATCCCACGTTTGCAACGTGGTTAGCACCGGTTCCAGGCAATAGCTGGAAATTATAGCTTAAATATATTTTTAAAAATAGCTTCAATTTGGTCAAAGTGGCCTTAAAAAAGGTCTTAAAAAGTCTTAAATTCGGCACCCATAAACCTGCAGATACCCTGTTTTAATTTCCTTTCTGAACTATTTCTGTTGAGTTTTAATGTTTAAAATCTGTTAGATTGTTACTGACAGCAGCTACATTTAAGTTCCTGTTCTGACTGAACGCTGCTGCAGCATGGAGGTGTAGCTCTCAGTCATCCTGGACATGATCATCCTGAGAGTTTCAGCTGAAAACAGCTGGACGTTTCTGGATATGTTGGAGACATTTAGCCTCTCATATATATATATATATATATATGTGTGTAGATATGTATACTTCTTCCAGACTTTGGTTGTGGTCAGAAACAAACACACTGGTTGTGCTGCAAGTCTTTTTCTTTTTTTCTCCAAAACATGTTTTTGTCTAAATGAAGGTGATGTTGTTGTTCACAGAATTAAAATTCATGTTGAAGTTAATATTATTTCATCAAGTAGGACCTGTGGTTAGCTGGCTCAGGTAACACATGTCATGTCTTGAAAGAATCTGTATCGGGAATCGATAGGAACCGGAATTGAAACAAGGAATTGGAATTGGAATCGTTCAAAATCAAACAATGTCCAACCCTACAGTTTGGTGGTAGTTTTAACAAACCTGAACACGATGAACGAACCATGACTTCATACTGAACAGGTTAGCTGCAGCAGGACAGAGCTGTAAACGCTCTGGTGTCTAACTGGTGCCATATGGGGGTGAGCTGAGGCCCTTTTTGACCACACGTTTGTTTTGTTCAGATCCTGAAGGAGAGGTTTGGGATGGTTGCTCCAGATGTTCAGATAGAAGATGGAAAAGGAACCATCCTGATCTCCTCAGAGGAGGGAGAGACGGAAGGTATGGAAATAGTAACACGTCTGTGCGTTTTAAATGTTTTATTTCTGCTAATTTCTAATTTGGACAAATCCATTTTATCCTGAAATGTAAATGACGTGTAAGAGAGTTCCCTATTTTCTGAATAGCTTGAAAAAATGTTTCTGTATTTAAAAAAAATCATCATAGAGGATCTGTTGTTGCTAATGTGAGTTAGCTCTTAGCAGAAATGCATTTATAGTTAAACTGTTGTGCCTTTTGAACTTTCATAGCACATTTTGTAACAGTAGAGGATAAGAGGAGCAGGACCAGCTGGACAGGATCAAAAACAGAAACGATGCTGATTTAATTATTTGGAAAAGTTGCATGTGGTAATTGTAATGACTCAACTGGACAGAAGGGGGTGCTCTTTCAGCTTTGTGGTCCTGCGTTTAATAAAAACACTTTAGAAATGTATTTTTCTTATTTCAAATAAAACCGTTTTACTTAAAGATTGATTCAAAGTTCGTTTGTTTTGTGTTTATAATATTGATCATTATTTATTGTTTGTGACTGAGCTGAACGACACATTTCCCACTAAATAATCTTTCTTTTTTCTAGCAAACAACAACAAATTTCTTTCTGACTTTGGGATTCGTAACGGCAGCCGCCTTCAATCTGACGACTTCCTGCAAGATTACACACTCCTCGTTAATGTGCTGCACACGTATGTTTTTCTGAACACGCACACACACACACACGAGTAGAATCTGCCTCTCTTTTGAGCTTATAACCTCAGACTGAATTGAAACTATGGACCTGTTCTGATTGACAGCGAGGAGCTCGAGAGGGATGTGGAGTTCGAGGTGATTGGTGAGGCTCCAGACAAAGCTCCGCCCCCTCAGAGTAACCAGGAGGAAGTAAACAGCATCACCAATGGTAACAAAGACTCCGCCCAGCCGTCCACGTCCTCTAAAGGTCGGCATCATCTCCGTCCGTTAAGTACAAAAAATTAATTTGTATCTGATGACATCTTTCCTTGGTGGGTTTAGTTCGTTGGGTTTGATCGTTATGCTGCTGGAACGTCCAGTTGGACGTAGTGTTTTTGATGTAATAAAAATAACTGGGAACCGTATATTCCCAGTGTAGAACTGTGCTGCACGTCTGGTTCCAGGGTATCCGCGGGTCCTTAAAAAGTCTTAAATTAGCTTTTCCAAATTTAAGGCCTTAAAAATTACAAATAATACTTAAATACAGTTTCCAAAGGTCTTAAATTTTCAAAGACCCAATAAACAAGATTATTTTATTTTTATAAAATTTTCGTGAATTTCTAGTTCGTGTTCCGCATTTTTTGTGTACGATGTTGCCGTAAGCGGAACCGTACACATTCAGTTGGTTGTGAAAGGGGGCTATTTTTAGACGAGCACGTTAGCTGGTTAAGCTAGTGGGAGCTTACGCCATGGGGAAGTGCAAGTTTAATGGTAACTAATCCCATGTTCGCAACGTGGTTAGCACCGGTTCCAGGCAATAGCTGTAAATTGAAGCTTAAATTTAATTTTAAAAATAGCTTAAATTTGGTCTAAGTGGTCTTAAAAAGTCTTAAATTTGGCTCCCTTAAACCTGCAGATACCCTGGGTTCATGCTTTTGTTATCAGGGTCGGGTATTTTAGACTTACGTGATATTTGGTCCAGTGGTCTTTGAAGCCATCACCACCCTGGCTGCCACATTAGATTGCCGGTTCTGGTTCAGCTGAGCTTTTAATAAACGTATGGTGTTGTTGGAGAAATGATTAGATCTGGGACACGGCTTCGATCCCGTCCCCATTTATCTGTCCTGTACAGAAAAAATGCTGGACGAGATCATTTTAAACGGTAAAACATTACTGTTTTATGTTCAGTCCATCTTTTTTTATAATAAATCCGTATCTTCTTTTATCTGCAGCTGAAGACGATGACCTCATGATCGTCGACTCTGACGAGGAGGAAGTGGCAGCATCTAACTCTGCAGCCGTGGCGACCGGCACCAAGAGGAAGTACTCAGAGACTGGCGAGTCCTCCGCCAAACGCCCACGGACGGACCAATCTGATGCAGCCGACGACGAAGATGACATCGTCGCTCTGGACTAGCGACCCTCTCGGTTCTGTCTGAAGGACTTTTCGGAACGTGTATCGACTCCAGTCAGACATTAGGCTGAAACAAGACACCTGTTTAATGAAGAACAATTTCCTCCCACATCGACGTTTTAGTGCTTTGATGCTCACTTTCCGGTGTGATACTGTAAATAGGTTCTGCATTTACAAGGTTTTGATAAATGCGGCGAGTTTCTTTTATTTTTATTCATTTACAGTCCTGAAAAAGCATCTCTTGATGGTTAAAAAAAGTGCTTTTGTATTTTTTTATAAATGTGCTGCATTTCTCATGCTACACAAGTTGGGGTGTCGTGTTTTTCTTTTATTTTTAAAAAGTTACAAAGGTTTGAGGTTTTAAAGCATCATTTGCAAACATACAGACGAAATCGTGAGTTTGTAGTCATGCTCTGAGATCCAGAGTCCGTTCGGTTTTGGTCAGTTTGTGCCAAGAGGTGTTGGTGTGCTGCCTCCTGTTTACAGTTGGGAGGTTTTTCTGCAGATCACCGGTCGGTCAGGAATCAGAATCCATAACAGCTTGAGAGGAACCAACATGGCTCCCTTTGGAACAGCGCTGACTATCAGATGGCTCAAAAGGCACATGTTGGGTTCTGGCAGCTTTGTGTCATTGAACTTGTTACAGTAGTTTCCTAAACTCGTCTCAATGGGAGCAAAATCGAGTTAAGTGAAAAGCGACCCAGGAGCGGTTAGACAAGGTCGTTCTGGCTCGTCCACCTGCAGCAGAGCACCATGTTTGTCCAGAGTTCCATATTTCATTGTGATCGGACTTGAGAGAGCTTTTGGACCAATGTGTCGAAGGTAATAAACGCAGCACTTTCAGAGGCTTTTTGTCCCGTCAGATTTGTCTTTGTGACGTAACGTTTTGTGGGATTTCACAGGCGGTAAGACCACGAAACATTCCGGGATTATAAGCCCTTTGGAAATTTTCCATTTTAAACTTGCTGCCCAGTTAAAACAAAATAAAGACGTTTCACCCGAAAAGATTTAATCTGCTTTCTCCATTGTTAGAGAAGAACAAAGGGCTGTTTTCTTAAGTTATGAATGAGGTTATGTAGTAAATGGCCTGTATTTGTATAGCACCTCCTTAGGGTTCTACACCCCCCCAGGCACTTCACAACTATCACTCATTCACATGCTGGTGGGGATGAGCTACAGTGTAGCCACAGCTGCCACTGACGGGCGAGTCCTGCTGAACAATGGCGCCACTGGTTCCTCCAACCACCACCAGCAGGTAAGGCAGGTTAAAGGGCCATTCCCATCTGTACCGGGTCGCCCGGTTGTTTCCACACATCCTTGCCTTAAGCCCATGTGGGCTGATTCTACCCACCAATCAGAGGCTTGCTCTAATGGAAGGTGTGAATTTGCTGTCAGCAGTGGGTGTGTTGGCCCTGGTCGGCCTGAAGCAGACCCCCTAGAGAAGAGGGCTGAGAATGAGTCTTGGTTGGCCCGGAAAAATACCAGGCCACCCAGATATGTAAACAACCTACGCTATCCGACCCAGGCCGACCCGGTACAGATGGGAAAGGCCCATAAGTGTCTTGCTCAAGGACACAACAGCAGTATTCCCTTGTCGGAGCCAGGATCAAACCTGCAACCTTCTGATTACTGGACAACCCGCTCTACCTCCTCAGCTACTGCCGTCCCAACATAGAACACTGCTAATAAACTATTTCCTGATTTAAAAAAAAAAAGTCTAAAAGTCAAAGATTGTGCAGCATCAAGGCCACAAACGTGAGCAATGAGATATCTAAAATAGAAAATGTGCCTTTGCAGCTTCTGACCTGCAAAATTACAGCTGCAATGATTTGCTACTTAATCACCGGTTGAATGAGTAAAACTTGTGCTATTTATGTCCGTTTGTGATGCCTTTTATAGGTTTTACATTCATTATATGAATTAAAATGTTCTTTTAGGAAATATTTGTAACTGTATTTCATTTCTGGGGTCATCTCAAGATAAACTTACGGTGGGGTCCAGACCCGACTTTAGGAACCACGTGATCAGTGCTGCCCCATCTGGGTTGTCAAGTGTAGAAAGTGTTAGAAGTGAGACGGTAGCAACAAATCTGGGATCTGTCTCAGTCCTAGTATGTCACAGCATCCAACGTTGTGTCTGTTATATCAGAAATGACCATGAGGATGCATTTTATTGTCTGTTAGTTTAGAATGAAAAGTGCAAAGCTGGAATGCTTTTTTTTTTTTTTTTTTTACCTAAATGGTTTTGCTGGCTTGTTTTGCACACTACTGTTTCTCATCTTGGCTCTGACATTGTTGTAAAGGAGATTTCCTCATCTGTTCCTGGATAAATAAAGATGAAATTAAAACATTTAAATTAATTATTAACCACATAACAAAAGTGAATCTCAAACATGTTTAAAGCTGAAACAGACTTCGGATCACCAGAAACTCATCTTAAAACTAGGTCAAAGATGCGTGTTTATTTACCTTTACACACGCATGTTCACTGAACATACTGAACCTTTTGACGTGTTGTAAACAAAGAACGTGCAGCACAGCTTTACTTGGTTGTGAAATATCCATTTCGTACTTATGATGCAACACCTTGTAAACAAGTTTGAATATGGACTCCGGCTGGATCAAATGTCTTCCTCAAATGAAGGTTTTTGTAAAGTTAGTTTATTCAACACGTCATATAGTTTTAGGATAAACAGATGCAAATATTTAATTAGAAAAACAAATGGTATGGGGAAATGTAACAAATCTGTTTTCAACAAATAACTTAGCAGATTTGTTACATTTAGTGATTTAATCAGAGGTAAATGGATGTGAAAGCATTTCAGCACAAAACACTCATTCAGCTGTCAACACAGTGGTGGAGGGCTGATGGTTTGGGTTTGGTCTGCGCCCACCAACTCTAGATACCAAAGTCTTCAAAGGTTATCTGAGGGTCATGCAATGGGATAATGACCCCAACCAGGAACACAGTTGTTAAAAATAAATCAATGGCCCAGTCAAAGTCCAGACTTTAACACGATTTACATTCTGTGTTGGAACCTTAGAGAACATGAATGTCTGCAAACCAGCTGGCTCAAATCGTGTTTTGACGTGTTTTTGAAGTCTTTGGTTACCATAAAAGGTTTGTCTCAGGTATGTCGTGTCAAATAAGGACAAAGCAAAGTCTCCACCCTCTGGCCAAAATTCTGTCAGGAGCAAAACTACCGAATGTTTTAAAAGCTTCAGATGTTTGGATGTACTTATGTATGTTTGAGACTCTTGTGAAGTATTTTAGAAGTTCAGCTGTTGACTACACCGCAGAGGGAGCCAAGAGGTTGCGCCTAATTTTCCAGAAAATATCCCTTTTTTATTAAATGTAAAAGAACACACATAACCCTCTGTTACAATAGAATAGAAACAGAAACAACTGCTGAGTTTATGTGGGGTGCCATTTGTAAAATCAAACAGTCATAATCTAACAGCAATATTTTTGGTTATTTAGCATATCATAAGAGAAAAAATTGGGAGTTCACTTTTTCAAAGTCATATTTTCACCATGTTATTCATACATTTATAAATGTTAAAGTTTCCAAATATATATTTAGCTAGCAAGCTAAATATTTAATTTATAGTCAAATATTTATTTTGCAAAATAAATATTTAGGTCTGATCTAAATATTTAGTTTGTAAAATAAATATTTAATTCACTAACTAAATATTTAATTAGTAAATTAAATATTTATTTTCCAAAAAAATATTTAGATCCCAGCTGAATTTTTATTTTGGGGCTAAACATTTAGTTTGCAAAATCAGTATTTGGAATATAAATATTTAAGTCTGACCCAAAAATATAAAATATAGTGTGGAGCTAAATAACATCATGGGAAATAAATATTTAGCTGGTACTTAAACATTTAGTTATTATGCAAATTCGCTTGCCAATAAGCGGAAGTTGTTACCAAAATAAAAGCTGGATCTCGCTAACCTCTTTATAAACTCTTGCTCTGAACCAGAACTTGTTTTATCTCTGTTTCTATTCTTCTTCAGCCAACACGTTGGACATGTTCAGAAGAATAGAACCGGAGATGAAACCAGTTCTGGTTCGGAGCAAGAGTTTATAAAGAAGTTAGCGAGATCCAGCTTTTATTTTGGTAATCAACTTCCGCTTATTGGCAAGCAAATTTGCATATTAGCAAAATGTTTAAGTACCAGCTAAATATTTATTTCCCACGATGTTATTTAGCTCCACACTTTATATTTTTGGGTCAGACTTAAATATTTATACTGATTTTGCAAACTAAATGTTTGGCTCGAAAATAAATATTTAGCTGGGATCTAAATAATTTTTCGGAAAATAAATATTTAATTAACAAATCAAATATTTAGTTCCAAAATAAATATTTAATTTGTAAATTAAATATTTAGTTAGTGAATTAAATATTTATTTTACAAACTAAATATTTAGATCAGACCTAAATATTTAGTTTGCAAAATAAATATTTAACTAAATTAAATATGTAGCTTGCTAGCTAAATATATATTTGGAAACTTTAACATTTATAAATGTATGAATAACATGGGGAAAAAATGACTTTGAAAAAGTGAACTCCCAATTTTTTATCTTATGATATGCTAAATAACCAAAAATATTGCTGTTAGATTATGACTGTTTGACTTTACAAATGGCACCCCATAAGTTCAGGGTTAAAACAGCATTTACTTCCACGGGTTAGTCTTGAGATAACCTGCTGCCTAAACTTTTGATTTTTTTCTGCAAACATTATGTATTTCTTTAATTTATCCAATAATATAAAATCTAATTTCTATATTTTGAGTTTATTTAAATTTTCTTCATCGTGACACGTCATCGGCATCATCATCATTTCCTCTTTACATTAATTAATAACATTAAATAGAATAATGTGTTAACAATATTTAAACTAATCATTATAAATGTCATTTTTGTTGTATTAATTATCTTGGTCCACGCAAATAAATAAATGTTTATTTATTATTGCCAGCTGCTCCGAGTTTTGGGTTTCGCCCCTCACAGGAGTCTTCTGATTGGTCAGACGGGTAGCCCCTCCCCCGGGCTCGCGACAGTTGCATAACCCTCACCGAGGGTCTGCGCGGACAGCTAAAACTGCGACTAAAACGGGTTAAATGACATCAAACTTATGCTATGGCTTCCAGATAAACGGTTATTCGCTTTTATCTTTACGTGGCGACGGATTTCCCGCCCCCAGACAAACACAAAGGAAGGTTCAGGCGGAAAACAAAGCCCCCGGCCGATGGTTGTTTTGAACAGACTGCTAACTTCTGACAGCAGCGGAGTTTAGAAGCTAGCTCGTCGCGGTGCAGCCAAACAGGCATCGCAAAATGGTGATTTTCTCCTCGGCAGTTCGACCTCTGGTGTCTCATCTACACCGTCAGCTCGTCAAACACGCCAAGAGTCGCCGAGTGACGCCTGTCAGACGATGCAACCTCGCGGCGTGCTCCAGCAAATATGTGCTTTCTCAGAGTGAGTACACGGAGAGCTGCAGACCAAGGCTTAACTGTTCAGGCTGGGTTGGTGGCGCCTGTGGGGTACACGCTACCGAAAAACGGTAAACAAAGCTTCTCCGGGTGTTACCAAAACACATCCATCGCCTCCGGGCGTGATGCTGACCGTTTGATGCTCTTTCACCTACCTACTTCTTATCACCTCTGACCTAAAAACGTACAAATATGCAACAATTTCGCAATAAACCAAACATGCCGAATGTTACTATGAGTCCAGTTGTATGATCCATTTCCGTCCGTTTCTAACCACAGAGGTTTAAACACACCTGAGCTGGTGTAACCACGCTCACCAACTTCAGCACTAGTTAAGTAACTGTTGCAACATTAAAGAAGCAGAAACAATCAGATGTGAATCTCTCCAGAGCTCTAAGCTTTGCAATGTTTAAGGCACAATGATGAACACAGTTAATGTTTAACACGTGCAGTGGGCTCAGGGAGAAAGTTAAACCACTTAAGATATTTTATTTCTGTTTTTGGTTTGATCTATCTAATAAATAGTCTTAGTTTTCTTGTTTTCCACAGAAAGTGTCCTGATATTTCAGTTTGTTATAAAAATGTGGACTCTGTCCCTGGAAGACTTGATGAAGGGAACAATCTCAGCATTTTAATTCTACCTCATTTCATTCTGGTTTATTTGTCCTGACTCATGTGACTTAAACACTTAACCCTGAACTCTGTAGTGCCTGGTATATCAAATATTAACAAAACAGCATAAAAACTGGTGCACAACGATCTATTTTCCATAACTGCTGAGAATGTTCATGTTTTTAGAAACCGGCTCAAGACTCATCTTTTTAGCTTAGCTTTTAACTGAATACTATCACTTTTTAAATTATTTAATTACTTAGGTTATTTATTTATCTATTTTTTTATTTAATGTATTCTTTATTCGTGCTTTTTAAACAGTTTTCTACCATGATTTATGATCAACATTATTTTAATATAACTTTTTATATTACAATTCTCATTTTAGCTCTTGATTTTATGTTTTAACCTTAATTTAACCTTTTTCCAGTGCTTCCTCTGTGGGAGCCCTCTGCCCCGGCAGCGGTGGTCGGCTGTGGTGGCCTGGGTGCTTTCCAGGTGTGCCTAGGTGGAGGTGGGGGTCTCTGCCCTCCCTGCCCTGGGCGCCTTGTGTCAGTGCCTCGGCTGCTGCTGTGGATCTGCTGCTGCCAGGGCGGATGGCTCCCCTGATGGTGTTTCCTTATCCTTATCTTAGCTGGTCTGGCTCATCTGATCTCAGTCAATCGTGTTTTTTACCATGGGGAAGGGGGCATGTATGTGTGTGCGTGTGTGCCGGAGGATGAGTGTTGTGAAGGGGTTTTTATTGTCTGACTGTTTTTAAAATTCTGGGGATGGGAGGGAATGTGGGTATGCGGGGCCTTTTTAATTTGTGAAGCACTTTGAGTTGCATGTATTGTAGGATAAAGTGCTATATCAATAAAAGTTGATTGATTGATCGATTGAACGATATATTTTCCATAACTGCATGATGGAAAAATAAGTATATGTTACCGTAATTGCAGCAAGGAGAGTGCAGGTTCAAATCCTGGTTAGGCCTTTCTGTGTGCAGTTTGCATGTGTGGGTTTTCTCTCACAGACCAAAAACACGCATGTTAGTTTAATCTGCAAGTCAGAGAGGATAAACTCGTCTGTAAAAAGCATGGAAACAAAAACTAGTTACACCTGCAGTTCTTAGATCATCCTCCAGACGGCAGAATACACACACACACACACACACACACACACACACACACACACACACACACACACACGAGTTGGAACCACCAAGTCCTATCTTGATGTTATCTTTCAGAAAATAAGAAAATAATCGACAAATAAGTCTTCAATTTTTGTTCTGTTTTAAAATATTATTGTGCATCAGTGTGCAGTGCATCTGCCACTAAAAGCCACGTTTATATTTATTATTGTTAATTTATCAATTAATCAAGGAACATAATTATTCAAATGTTCTCAAAGTATCAAAACTTGATATTTCAATTGAGTGTAGTGGGATTTTTTATTAAGGTAAATATATCAACAAAGACTTTCTTACTAAATGTTGCTATAAACATCAAACTCCAGCAAAGATGAATAAAATAAAATAAATTTTTATGGCTTTGAAATAGTAAAAGAATCAGTGTTTTGTAACTCTTGAGTACGTCCGCGTGATCTGGCCCCAGATTAGAGAGGAATCGTTTCTGCTACAAGTGTAATGACATTTTAGTCGTGTTATACACGTTCGTTTAATTTCAATCTTACTTCATTATTAGCATTATTTTTACAATCAAACAAGCTTAAAACAGAACGAACTAATTGGTTGCTAAAGTCACAGTATCTGGTGCAGGTGAGCGTTAATCTGAGGAATGTGGGCTCAGACTGGGCTTTAAGATTACACAAAAATGTGCTTGAGGATTTGAAGTCGGACATTTAGCAGCAGAGATGTTTTTGGATTCCTGCACAACAACAGATTGTTTATAAATGTTATAATATAGTTCAATAATGTTGGATAATATTGACATGTTTTTTTAAAATGGCACAAATCTGGAGGATCCAACATCTGAGAGTAAATCTGTGCGTGAGGACGAGAAGCGTTGCAGGCGGTTATTGTGTGACCATGCTGGAACAGTCGACTCCCCCAGGAGAAGCTGCTGAAATCCAATAAAGGTGAAGGTCATTTCCCAGCCAGACTGGTTCAGCCCGACTCAGCAGAAACTTTTAAGCCTCCAGCTTGATGAATAGAGGAAATGGATATCCTGTGTTCTTTCTTCTGTAGATTTAGTTTTGGACAATGATGGAAATCACAGGGAAAGTTCACTCTTTTTAATTCAAGCAGAATTTGGTGTAATTAGATCTCCGTTTAGCCCGAACTGGGACCAGTTAGAGGTTCTGGCCTGTTCCTCCTGCTGTGGAGAGGAGCTGGGGGCGGGCCAGGACATTCCGAGAGTGACTTTCTGTACAGCCAGCCCACTTTACTCTTATTTAGTTATTTCCTTTATGAAAGAAAGAAAAAACGTTTGAGAACCAGGAGGAAGTTCTGTTGCTTATGTTTGATTCGGTTCCTTCTGAGAGCTCGGAGAAGACGGATTAAGTGAGAGTAGTTCATAGAGTTGGTTTTAGTAAAGCTGATTTAGTTTATTTTAAAATGGACTGTGTCAAAGTGCAGGAAGGGTGCAAAAGTAGGTTTTCTTCTGCTCTCTTTACTTATAAAGTCTGACTTTTCCCGCTGATTCTTCCTCTGTTCGTCTCCAGTGCATCCCATGTGGCAGGAGCCCCTCGCTGTTCCGGGAGGGGATCGGCAGTCTCCCGTGGACATCGCTGTGAAGAAGAGTGTCTTTGATGCGGAGCTGAAGCCGCTGGTGACCAGCTACGACCCTCACACTTGCCAGCAGATCTGGAACAACGGTTACTCCTTTCTGGTGGAGTACGACGACACCAAGGACAAGAACAGTGAGTTATTGTTAAACATTCAAAGCCATCTGGTAGAAGTCGGCTCACAGAAACCTTGAAGTGACTTTTTTCTTCTTCCTTGCTGCAAAGTGCTGGACTGAAGTTAGTTTCCCCTTTAAATCGTGGCCGTGTCGAAGGGAAAATCTCAGCAGGGAGAATGCATGGTTTGATCTACATAAGAGGCTTATGTCCTCCTCCACGACCCCCTTGAAGAGCCCTCTGTCCAGGAATCAGTGCAGCTCTGAACGCCACGTGGACTCTTGACTATCATGTGACTGTGTGTGTGTGTGTGTGTGTGTTGTACTCTACATGGTCAGCACAAACTCTTTTGAATTGTTGCTAGTTTAGGTGTAATTACTGGTTTTACCCAGAGCAGCAGAACTCTAAATTTAAGGCTTATATGTGAGAAACGATGACCTCCAACTGAAAGCAGCTAAAAATACTAGCTCTGGAGCTCAGACTGGGCTCCTATGTTAAAGGAATCAAACAGAGCAGTTATTACGGTGATGCTGTGTAACAGGAGACATTTGGGTTGTTTGCGCTGCTCAAATGTCCAAACGAGTCGCTCCACCTTTATGATTTTATTCCAGAACAAACTGTTCCTCAACAGAAACACTGAATAATTGATCCTGGGAGTGTCCGTGTTTAACAGAGTTCTGAATGAGTCAGCATGTGATGTCATGATTCTCATGCTCTGTGTCTCGCTGCTGCAGCGCTGACGGGAGGCCCCCTGCAGGACCAATTCAGGCTGTGTCAGTTCCACTTCCACTGGGGTGAGACCAACGAGTGGGGGTCGGAGCACACCGTGGACCGACGACTGTTCCCTGCAGAGGTACTTCCTCAGTCCCAAAACCTGCACGTCCTTTAATAATAGCCAGGAAGCTAATGTCATTCCTTCGGGATGCAAATAACAGAAATCTGATCCCCACATTTTTCTCAGAAACGCTTTGTATTTGTGTCTGTGAAGGTTCTCAGTCATCCAGGTCATTGTAGTCTAAGGAGCTCTGAAAGAAAAGCGTCTGGACTTCTTTGAGTTGCTTGAAGACGTTTCACCTCTCATCCGAGAGGCTTCTTCAGTTCTAATGTCAAATGGTGGAGAGTCCCAGCCTGGCAAGCTAGACTTGATATGCTCCATTGACGGCTCTCGGTTGTGGGGCGGGTTCTACCGTTGTCTTTCAAATGATCTCCGCATTCCACTGGACAATGAATGTGACATACTCTTGTTTCACTCTGTTGCATCATCCCACCCACCAGGCATGTAGAGAGCCCTAATTGGCCCACAAAGCAGATAAAGCTCTGTGATTTGTTCACTAAGCAGATAGAGCACTATGATTGGCCCACCATTATGGGCCAATCACAGCTCTTTATGTGTTTGAAACCCCTCTAGAGAGCTGTGATTGGCTAGCCAGAGTCCTGGTAGGAGCTGCTGAGGTTCCAATGGAGCATGCCTAGACCAAACTTTGCAAAGCAAGAATTTGGTCTAGTTCACTAGGCTAGGAGAGTCCCAGATTCAAACCCAGTGGGAACAAAGAAAATACCTCCTGATGATCTTCTACATAAACACATGAGCCAAGGTGTGAGGGTGGTTGTGGGTCCTATTCAGCCAGAGTTTCGGGTGAGCTCATTGTGAAGCCTGGCTCCACCCTATCATGGGAATTCCTGAGGTCAGATGGCCCAGGATATGCGTGGGCGTTGAGGCATCTGGGAAGGGATCTCAAAACTGGATTATAGATGGCAGACAGTTGGTGTCGTAAACCACCGCCTCTGTTCAAAGATGGTTGCTCACAGTGGACATAAATGGCTTCCTTTACTCCTCTTTCAAACCATCTGTCCTCTCTGTCCAAAATGTGAACGTTGGCATCCTCGAAAGAGTGACCTTTGTCCTTTAGATGCAAATGAACTGCTGAGTCCTGTCCCGTGGAGGTGGCTCTTCTATGCTGTGCCATGCGCTTGTGAAGTGGCTGTTTGGTTTCTCCGATGTAGAGGTCTGGCCATTCCTCGCTGCACTGTACAGCATACACCACATTGTTCAGTTTGTGTTTAGGAGTTTTGTCTTTCGGGTGAACCAGTTTCTGTCTTGAGTGTGTTGCTGGGCCTGAAGTACACTGGTATGTTGTGTTTGGAGAAAACCCTCCTGAGTTTCTCTGATACACCGGCTACATAGGGGATGACGAGGTTGTTGCGTCTGTCTTTCTTATCCTCCCTCGCTGGTGTCTGGTCTTCTTTTCTGTGCATCTTTGCTGACTTTATAAACGCCCAATTAGGATAGCCACATGTTTTAAGTGATTCCTTTATATGTGTGTGTTCCTTCTTTTTCCCTTCCGGCTTAGAGGGAACATGTTCTGCCCGGTGGTGTAGGGTCTTGATTACTCCAAGTTTGTGTTCCAGAGGGTGATGTGAGTCGAAGAGGAGGTACTGGTCCACCATTTGACATTAGAACTGAAGAAGCCTCTCAGATGAGATGTGAAATGTCTTCAAGCAACTCAAAGAAGTCCAGACGCTTTTCTTTCTAAGCTCCTTAGACCGCCTTGTATTTGTGACTTGCTGGTGACTTCATGGGCCTGATGGGAATCTTCTTCCTCACAGTGATGATGCTTTTTCATTGCCAGGCCAAGTGCAAAATAAAAATTCAGTTCAGATGCATCACATGCACAATTTGGTGCAAGACCTCACGCGATCCAGTTAAACTGCTGACATCAATTATCTGAGTCGGATCACTTTTAGTTGTTTAGTTGTTTTAGGCAGCCTCTAGACTGAAGTCATTCTAGAGGCTGCCTCTCGGATGAGAGGTGAAACGTCTTCAAGCAACTCAAAGAAGTCCAGACGCTTTTCTTTCAAAGCCCATTAGACTTAAATTTTCTGCCTAAAACTGTCAGTGTTGTGCTGTTGTCAGGTAAAAACTGCACTATATTTGAATTTAAATCTGCCATCGCTATTGGCTAAGAGGTACCCTAGGACGTTAGCTGGTACCGTATGATGTCACAATGTCGTTGTGTGTGTGAACGGCTCTGCCCTCTCGGTCTGCTAGGCAACAGCATTTGTTGCATTTTTCAAACAGGAAGTGGGAGTGGAGTAAGAATCTGGTAGGGGTAAATTATATGTTTTCATACTAATATCATTGATTACATTTTTAAATAAAGCCCTAATGTGTAAAAAAAATCCTAGTTTCACATTTAGGTCTCAAAAATTCCAGGAACGGCTAAATTAAATGGAAATGCACATATTCTGATGTTGAGGGCCGATACTGATTTCTACCCTGCTGATACTGGTCTTTTCTTATTCATCCTCAAGTTCTCCAATTAACAAATAATTATTTTATTAGTTACTTAAAAATTGGGATTCTGGAGGTGAAAATTTCCAGATGCGAAGTCTCGTCTCGTCTCGTCTTCCTCCGCTTATCCGGGTCCGGGTCGCGGGGGCAGCATCCCAACTAGGGAGCTCCAGGCCGTCCTCTCCCCGGCCTTGTCCACCAGCTCCTCCGGCAGGACCCCAAGGCGTTCCCGGACCAGATTGGAGATGTAACCTCTCCAACGTGTCCTGGGTCGACCCGGGGGCCTTCTGCCGGCAGGACATGCCCGAAACACCTCCCCGGGGAGGCGTCCAGGAGGCATCCTGACCAGATGCCCAAACCACCTCAACTGGCTCCTTTCGATCCGGAGGAGCAGCGGTTCTACTCCGAGTCCCTCCCCAATGTCCGAGCTCCTCACCCTATCTCTAAGGCTGAGCCCGGCCACCCTACGGAGGAAACTCATTTCGGCCGTTTGTATCCACGATCTCGTTCTTTCGGTCATTACCCAAAGCTCATGACCATAGGTGAGGATTGGGACGTAGATCGACCGGTAAATCGAGAGCCTGGCTTTCTGGCTCAGCTCCCTCTTCCCCACGACAGATCGGCTCAGCGTCCGCATCACTGCAGACGCCGAACCAATCCACCTGTCGATCTCCCGATCCCTCCTACCCTCACTCGTGAACAAGACCCCGAGATACTTAAACTCCTCCACTTGAGGTAGGACCTCTCCCCCGACCCGGAGGTGGCAAGCCACCCTTTTCCGGTCGAGAACCATGGTCTCAGATTTGGAGGTGCTGATCCTCATCCCAGCCGCTTCACATTCGGCCGCGAACCTACCCAGCAAGAGCTGAAGGTCAGAGCTGGATGAAGCTAGGAGGACCACATCATCCGCAAAAAGCAGAGACGAGATTCTCCTGCCACCAAACTCGACACACTCCACACCACGGCTGCGTCTAGAAATTCTGTCCATAAAAGTGATGAACAGAACCGGTGACAAAGGGCAGCCCTGGCGGAGTCCAACCCTCACTGGGAACAGGTCCGACTTACTACCGGCTATGCGGACCAAACTCACGCTCCTCTGGTAAAGGGACTGAATGGCCCTTAACAGAAAGCCACCCACCCCATACTCCTGGAGCGTCCCCCACAGGGTGCCCCTGGGGACACGGTCATAAGCCTTCTCCAAATCCACAAAGCACATGTGGATTGGTTGGGCAAACTCCCATGCCCCCTCCATCACCCTTGCAAGGGTATAGAGCTGGTCCACAGTTCCACGGCCAGGACGAAAACCACATTGCTCCTCCTCTATCTGAGATTCAACTATCGATCGGACCCTCCTCTCCAGTACCTTGGAGTAGACCTTTCCAGGGAGGCTGAGGAGTGTGATCCCCCTATAGTTGGAACACACCCTCAGGTCACCCTTCTTAAAGATGGGGACCACCACCCCGGTCTGCCACTCCCTAGGAACTGCCCCCGATGACCACGCAATGTTGTAGAGACGTGTCAACCATGACAGCCCTACAACATCCATAGCCTTGAGATACCCAGGACGAACCTCATCCGCCCCCGGGGCTCCGCCGCTGTGTAGTTGTTTGACTACCTCAGCAACTTCTGCCCCCGAGATCGGACAGTCCATCCCCAGGCCTCCCAGCTCTGGTTCCTCCTCGGAATGCGCATTGGTGGGATTGAGGAGCTCCTCAAAGTATTCCTTCCACCGTCCGACTATAGCCTCAGTTGACGTCAGCAGCTCCCCATCCCCACTGTAAACAGTGTGAGCGAGTTGCTGCCTTCCTCTCCTGAGGCGTCGGACAGTTTGCCAGAACCTCTTTGGAGCCGATCAATAGTCTTTCTCCATGGCCTCACCAAACTCCTCCCACGCCCGAGATTTTGCCTCGGCAACTGCCACTGCTGCACCCTGCTTGGCTATCCGGTACCTGTCTGCTGCCTCCGGAGACCCACTGACCAGCCACGCCCTGTAGGCCTCCTTCTTCAGCTTGACGGCTCCCCGAACCTCTGGTGTCCACCAGCGGGTACGGGGGTTGCCACCACGACTGGCACCGGCCACCTTACGACCACAGCTAGCAACAGCCGCCTCGACAATCGCAGAGTGGAACAAGGCCCACTCGGACTCAATGTCCCCCACTGCTCTCGGGACGTGGTCAAAGCTCTGCCGGAGGTGGGAGTTGAAGACCATCTTGACAGGTTCTTCTGCCAGGCGTTCCCAGCAGACCCTCACTATGCGTTTGGGTCTGCCAGGTCTACGCGGCATGTTCCCTTGCCATCTGACCCAACTCACCACCAGGTGGTGATCAGTTGACAGCTCCGCCCCTCTCTTCACTCGGGTGTCCAAAACATACAGCCGCAGGTCAGATGATACGACTACAAAATCTATCATCGACCTGTGACCTAGGCTGCCCTGGTACCAAGTGTACCGGTGGGCATCCTTATGTTCGAACATGGTGTTCGTTATGGCCAAACTGCTGCTTGCACAGAAGTCCAATAACAAAACACCGCTCGAGTTCAGATTAGGTGGGCCGTTCCTCCCAATCACACCCCTCCAGGTCAAGCTGTCATTGCCCACGTGAGCATTGAAGTCCCCCAGCAGGACAATGGAGTCCCCTGATGGAGCACTATCTAGCACTCGTCCCAGGGACTCCAAAAAGGGTGGGTACTCTGAACTGATATTTGGCCCATAAGCACAAACAACAGTCAGGACCCGTTCCCCGACCCGAAGGCGCAAGGAAGCTACCCTCTTGTCCCCCGGGGTAAACCCCAACACACAGGCAGAGAGTCTCGGGGCTAACAAAAAGCCAACCCCAGCCCTCCGCCTCTCACCCGGAGCAACTCCAGCAAAGTAGAGTGTCCAACCCCTCTCCAGGTCTCGGGTTCCAGAGCCAATGCAATGTGTCGAGGTGAGTCCGACTATATCTAGCCGGTACCGCTCAACCTCTGCCACAAGCTCCGGCTCCTTCCCCGCCAGCGAGGTGACGTTCCATGTCCCAAAAACTAGTTTTCTTGTCCGGGGATTGGACCGCCAAGGCTCCCGCCTTGGTCTGCCACCCGATTCACATTGCACCGGACCCTTCATGTTCCTCCTGCGGGTGGTGGGTCCACAGTTGGACGAGCCCATGTATCCGGTTCGGGCTGGGCCCGGCCGGGCCCCATGGGCGAAAGCCCGGCCACCAGGCGCTCGCTCACGGGCCCCAACCCCAGGCCTGGCTCCAGGGTGGGACCCCGGTAACCCTCCGGGCCGGGTACTCCGACTCTTTGTTTTAACCGCCATGAAAGATCCTTCGAACCGTTCTTTGTCTCACCCTTCACCTAAGACCAATTTGTCATGGGAGACCCTACCAGGGGCACTAAGTGCCCCAGACAACATAGCTCCTAGGATCATTAGGGCACTCAAACTCCTCCACCACGATAAGGTGACGGTTCAAGGAGGAGAGATGCGAAGTCTGTTCATGCTAATTTAAATTAGCGATGAGAAATTCGCAATGGAGTAAAATGTTTTTTTTTTTTTTTTTTCTTGCTGCTTAGTAATGATGCATTCAGGGACCAAAACAATAAACATCTAATTTGACCAGTCAGGTTGATCTTGCTGAACATCGGTTGAGTCCAGCTGATTTCTGTTTAATTTCTGATAAAAAGTTTGGTTCTGCGCGTTGCATGACTCAGTGTACCGACACAAACATGGCGGCTACGCAGCAGACTCTCTGCTGAGATTAGCAGAAACAGGACACTGAAAGCCTCACAGATGAAAAACAAAATGCTTTCATATTTTGCCTTTTTAGATTAAATGTAGTTGTTTTTAAATGAGAAGCGTTGAAGAATCTCCTGAGTTTATTGAAGTTGGTTTAATAAAAGAGGAGGACTTGGAAACAGAGGAGCATTGGTTAAATATTTACTCGGGTTTCATTTCTGCTTCTGCTCAAGGCGAATCGCTTTGACGAACGTGACGCCATAAAACTTCCAGGATTTTGAAGGGGGTACTGTGCAACTTTGTCCGATTTTTAAATCATTCTTTTGAGCCAGTATGTGCTAAAATGATCCTGTTATGAAATGTCACTCAGATCCCCACCAGACCACACTCTGTGGCCAGAATACTGCATTTGCAACTTCAGAGTGGCCTTTAAGTCTGAAGTTGCTTACATACCTGGCACTGCAGTCTGCTTCCAGCACGTTTCCTGCATGTTTCAGGTTATGAACACAGCTGATTTGTTTAGTTTAGTGATGAATCAATTCTGTAGACACTAATCAAGGCTGAGGAGACATTTCAGCTGTTAGGTTAATGGACACTAGGGGGGGGGGGGGGTGCCAAAATCAAACGAATCTGCCAAGTACGCCTTTAATTTGTTTCCTTTGTTGTTGTTAATCTGACATCGAGGTGTGTTTTCCATCACATCCAGTCCAGTCAGTTGTCCTTCCGGCAGCAGTTTGTTTGCAGAATTGACTCCTTTTACCTCATTTCTAGTCTTTCTGTGTTCTCGTCTGACATATTTTACTGGTTCCAGTCATGTCTGTGATATAAATCTACCTACGAGTCTAAATCAAGTCCCTCCTGGATCTTAAAGCTCAGATTTCTGTTGACTTTCAGCTCCATTTGGTCCACTGGAACGCTGACAAGTACAGCCTGTTTGAGGAGGCGGTGATGGAGGACAACGGCCTGGCCGTTATTGGAGTCTTTCTGAAGGTACGCGTGCGTCCTGCTCACCGTCACAATAACATGATGAATACAGTCTGACTAGGGTTGTCACGGTTTGAAAATCTAACCTCACAGTTACTGGGACCAAAATTATCACAGTTTTCGGTACTATTGCAGTATTTTTTTAAACGTGTTACATTTTCAGGAAACTAAATAAACCCTGTATATCAGAAAAATATTGTCCTCAGTTTGTGTCTAAATTTTGCCTAAAATTTGTTATTTTGTGATTATGTTGTTTATTTGTTTACGTCAGGGGTGCCCAATCTTGGTCCTCGAGGGCCGGTATCCAGCTTGTTTTAGTTTTAACTCTCCTTCAACACACCTGATTTCCATCAGCAGGTGATTAACAAAACTTCTGCAGAGCCTGATGAGTTGCTGCACAGGTGATTCAACCAGTTAATCAAGTGTGTTGGAGCAGAAAAACCACAAAACCTGCTGGATACCGGCCCTCCAGGACCAGGATTGGGCACCCCTGGTGTACATTTTTCCACTTTAGTCTTTAAAATACCAATATTTGCCCATAACTTCTTATTTTTTGTGTTTGATGTCATCATTTTAAAAATATTAGATCAGATGATACTCAGTACTCAAGAAGCCTTCTAATCAGATACTTTTTTACCCTTACTTGAGTAATAAACCCTATATCAGGAAAATATTGTCCTCGGTTTGTGTCCTTCCAGTGAGCTTTGCAGATGTGGGAAAATGTCATCAGGCAGGAATCATAGTTAAATTCATAATTATTCTCGGAGAGAGACCAACTCTATCTGCCCCTGGGAGCCCCGTAATGCATAGCGTCATTTCAACATGGGGGTGTCCACGACACGGTTTATATGCAGGTAGCGGCGCTGCGGCTGCTTTATATAGCGACTCGTTGCATTCTCCCTCAACCCAAATCCTCGGATCACGCATTTTAGCTAAAACGCTGACGTTAGCTTGCCTTGCGTTGACTGTAGAGTTGTGGGTGATGGTCATGCAGATGTGTCATGAGATTTGAAGCGTTGCTGCCTTTCACAGACACTTTTTCTGCACGTGCTGCAAACAGGATAGCCGTCTTCTATCAGCTGTCCCTCGGCATTCTTCAGATATCCAAAAGATGCCCGTACTTCCCACTTTGTCTTCTTTGAGGGATAATAAATGTCCTGAGTGCTGCCGTCTCCTCCTTTGGCCATTATTTCAGCTTTAGCTTCAAGAAAGTTTTGGTTGTAAACAACTAAGTGTGCATGCGCCGCCGGCAACTTCAGCAGGTGATACGGTGGCTGGTAAGGGTCACCGCGCCTACACTGCAGCCACGGTAACCCACCGAGATAATATATATTTTTAAAAACAAGACGGTTATTATTATTGTCAACTTTTTTACCTGGGTTTACCGCTACACCGGTTACCGTGACAACCCTAAGTCTGATGTATCTCAATCAAGATCACTGTCTTTCAGTTT